TCCGATCCCTACCAGCACCTTCGCTTCCCCACTGTATTAGGTCCCACCAGTTGGTACTGTACGCACACATACATAGGCATCGCAGGCATCGCATCAAGTTGAAAAACTACCACATCGACAAATCCGTAATGGCCGAACCCATCAAAAGAGCATACGGGGTCAAAGATATAGAGCCGTTTTACGTCGGGGCCACGGCAGCGGCTTTTTCCCTGGACGGATCCATCGTCGCCACGCCGCTTAATGAGGATGTCGTGGTGACCGACTTGAACAGAAATATCACACTCCACACGCTAGAAGGCGACGGAGAACTTGTCACAGCCCTCGCAATCACACCTGACGGCGCCCATCTCGCCGTCATTTCCCAATCCCAGCAGCTTCGAGTGTACAATGTCGAAAGCGGAGAAATCACGAAACAGACGAAGCTCTCTGCTCCAGTATACATCGCTACTGCCGACGAGACCTCGTCACTTTTTGCATTTGGCTCCACGGATGGAGTTGTCACAGTGTGGGACGTCGATGGCGGGTACGTGACCCACTCGCTCAAAGGTCACGGCACCATCATCTGTTCCTTGTGCTTCTACGGTGAGCTTCACTCGTCCAAGTGGATGTTAGCGCTGGGAGACACCATGGGCACATCGAAAGTGTGGGACTTGGTTAAAAGAAAGTGCATTTCGACTCACCAGGAGCACTCGGGCGCCGTGAGAGGCCTTGCGTTCTCGCCAGACGGATCGCAGTTCATCACCGGTGGAAGAGACGCCGTGGTGGTTTTCTACAACACAGACAACTTGCGTAAGGTTGTGAATACCGTGACCGTGAGGCATCAGGTCGAATGCTGCGGTTTCACTCAGCTTCCGCTGGGAGAAGATGTTTTCTACACTGCAGGCTCAGAGAACCAGGTGAAGCTCTGGGACATTGCCTCGGGTAAGCCGCTTGGAGGGTCGCCCAAACCGTTGGAAACATCCGAGGAGCTCATGGCGATCGAAGTCGTCCACACAAACGAAAACTCCCGTCTTTGGATGGTGGTTTCTGACCAGACAATGGTGGAGATGTCCCTCGAGGACATGTACGTTGAAAACGGTGCTGCTGTGATTCCCATCACGAGGCGAGTTGCTGGTAACCACGGAATCATTGCTGATCTTCGCTACGCCGGCCCCAACATGGAACTCGTTGCCATGGCCACCAATGCACCAGCCTTGCGTGTGGTGGACCTCAGTGCTCCTCTTGACGTACACCTTCTCGAAGGCCACACGGACCTTCTTAATTGCATAGACGTTTCCGAGGACGGAAAATGGATTCTCACGGGAAGCAAGGACAACCTGGCCAGGCTCTGGGCGTGGAGCGACGAGGAGGAGTCTTTTTCTTCATATGCTGTTTTCACCGGTCACGCTGGAGCCGTCACCGGCTGTGCTCTTCCGAAGAGCATCAACAAAATTCCCGCTTTCATCATCACAGCTTCTGCTGATTTGACCGTCAAAAAATGGCGTGTACCAAAAGAGGCAGGCGCCACGATGAAAACCAGTGAATACACCAGAAGAGCTCACGACAAGGATATCAACTGCGTTGCTGTCGCACCCAACGACGAGCTTTTTGCTACTGCTTCTTTCGACAAACTCGGCAAGGTCTGGGACTTGGAATCCGGCGAAACTGTCGGTGTTCTCAAAGGTCACAAGCGTGGACTTTGGGATATCAGTTTCTGCCAGTACGACAAACTTATCACCACAGCTTCTGGAGACAAGACAGCTAGAGTCTGGTCGTTGGCCGACTACACGTGCACAAAGACGCTTGAAGGCCATACTAACGCCGTGCAACGAAGCCGTTTTATCAACAAGAGCAAGCAAATCGTCACCACTGGAGCAGACGGTTTGGTGAAGTTGTGGGACGTCAAGGAGTCTGAGTGTGTCGCCACTTTGGACAACCACAGCAACCGTATCTGGGCTGCTGATGTCAAAGAAGATGGTCTACAGATTGTCACTGCCGATGCTGATGGCCACATGAGTCTCTGGAGAGACCGTACAGACGAGCTTCTTCTAGAACAAGAGCAGCAGCAAAAAGAGAAGGTCGAACAGGAGCAGCAGTTGAGCAACTACATCAACCGCAGCGACTGGAGCAACGCCTTTTTGCTTGCACTCACGTTGGAGCATCTGATGAGGTTGTACAATGTGGTGAAGGCTGCTATTGGAGCCAACCAGGATCCCGAGCTGGCCGTGGGACTGAAGGAGCTTGAGGAGACAATGAGGACGTTGCAAGGGGATCAGATGGAGGCGCTTCTCAAAAGAGTCAGGGACTGGAATATCAACTTCAAGCAGTTTGAGATAGCACAGAAGGTGTTGTCAGTTATTGTTGCTCAGCTTGACATGGACAACGGCGCCATTCGAAAGATTGTGGAGCAGGTTATTCCGTACAACGAAAGGCACTACCAGAGACTCGACGAGTTGGTTGAGCAGACGTATGTGCTTGACTATGTTGTGCAAGAGATGGAGAAGGTTTAGCATGGGGTTAGCATGGTAATAAAAGGACGAGAAGGAAACTGTAGGATGCTAGATTTTTTTTGTTTTGGAGGAATGTGGATTGACTGGATTTATGCTAGGAAAATCGTGGTTGCAAATAATTTTAGCAGAATTGAAAACTCGGGATTTACTGCCCAGCAACAGCAAACAAACTGTTCTTGGTGAAAAAAATAATACCCTCCGCCAGCGATGAGATTTACCATTGTCGAGCCAGCAGCAGCTCCGGCTTGGCGTCGTTGACAGGTCGAGTGCCGCCTCGAAACCCCTGCAACCTTGTTCTGCGGAAGAACAAAAAGAGACTTTAGCAGTCCACCCGCATGGAAAACGGAAGTAACCCTTGCGTTGGAGTTTTCTTGGGCAAATCCAACAACGGCTGTTGTTTCGGGATAGTCCGAGCCAGCAGGCGCCAAAAGAAAAGTAAAAAAAAAACAGGATTACTTAAATCGCTTGCTGAGGGGGCGGCGGCAACTCCGTGATCATGTGGTTCTTATCTCTGAGCGATCAGCCCAGACGTACAGATGCCCGCAGGGTGGAAGCCCGAGACAAGGAAATTATGACAACTGCTGGGGTGCTAAACAACTGTTGGGTTGTTGGGCCCTCAGCCGGAATTTTTTTTCTATTCTGCTTTGCCACTAGTGCAGATGCCATGGCTCGTAAACCGCCTCAATAATACGGAGGGCAGACTTGCCACGGTCTGGCGAGATAGCGAAAAACAAGAAAAAAAACCATCAGGTGGTGTTGCACGGAGGAACTTTTGCCTGGTCCATGTGCGAAATAAGCTTCTGCAAGCGAGGTAAGCGAGACGGAATATGAAGCAGCAACGGTTAGGACACCTGGCCTGGACACAAAATTAGACGAAGCAAAGCAACGGAAATGTAACAAGACCGATACGGGAGGCATAAGCAAGCCAGGTTAAAGTTAGTTTTTTAGACGGCAGGGCTTGACGTTTCCTCGGCTAGCGAGGTGCGTCAGGCTAAAGTCGGCTAACGCAAACTCGCTTAAACAATCAGACGCCGCGAGCTCCGTGGGAAGCGAACGGCTGGGGGATGGTGGAATTTGTGGCAGTGGAGGAGAAATAAAACGGTGTAATTATTTGCAGTGTGTATTTTTTTGAAAAGTCTGGGGCATGTTGCATTCCGGTGTAAGTGAGCGAGGGCGGGAATCGGTTGGTATGCACCCGGCTCAAGCCATGCGGGCAGCGAGAGGCAGGTGAGATTAACGAGACGTGAGATAGGCGAGGTCTCGCCCGGAGGAGACCGCAAAGTGGGCAGACACTACCCATGAAGAATTAGAAATGAAAATAATAAAAATTAGGAAACAACATCCCCCCACCTGACTTGGGGGACCCTGGGCCAGAACCATCCGTAGTGGACCAAAGCGGGTCCGAATACGATGGACGCTGCCTTACTGTTGAGGAGACAACGAGCGGGGCAAAAGTTTAACAGTGTTTGAGTCTTCTACCCAAGGGGGGAAGCGCCCAGGCTAGGTGCCGCGGGAAAGCCAGGCGGGTGCGGGAAATCTTGCCGTTTCTTTGAAGCGGGCGGCCGCTGGCTGGAAATGAGCGCAAATGACGAAATTTGGGCAAGCGCACCCCGGTGGAAGATGGTGCAGTGATTGTCACACTGGCGACAATAACTCGACAAGCCAGACAATAGGGAGGTGGCTAGAGGGTGGGTGCGTCTATGTGCGTCTGGATGCGTGGCGCGCGAGCGGTGCGACAACGAACGGTGCAGCGATCCGCCAGCCGGCATACCAAAGTGCGCAAACTGGCCATAGTTAGATCAGACAGCGGAGTGAGTAGGTTTTGGTTGCCTTTTTGTGGCGAGGTCACGCAGACAGGTGACGCAGACGCAGTTTCAACTTTTGAGGCTGAAACAAATGCAGACGGCTGCGGGTGCGACACCCATCGCCACCTCACACCCACCCACCCCTCGCGCACTGGTGCAGCCGACTGCAGTAACTGCTCAGGCACCGATACAGTGTGCAGGAGCACGCCTTCGCCTGGGGTTGCTAGCGATTTGCTGATCCGGCACCACAGACGCCAGCGTCTGAGGGCCCTTGCAAGGGCGGGAATTTTTTAGTATTCGCTTTACATGAGATCGTACACCAGCAGGCGGCGGTCCTTCTCCTTGCCCAGATTGTCCAGATTGCGGCGCTTAGCCTGCTGAGGCACCATTTCGTAGCCCAAACAGAGCTTTTTGGACCGCTCGCAGTTGTAACAGTGCGGTTTACGCTCGTCACACTTGATGCGCCGCTTACGACAGGTGAGGCACCCTGTGCGAGTACGTCTCTTAATGACCCGGCGTTTGTTCACGAGGGCGTTGTTTTGGTCAACTTCACGTGGGTACGGCTTGTATTGAGGCACCACAGGCACAAGTGGAGGAAGCCCGTAGTAGTTTGGCATCGGATACATCGGCACCATTGGCCCATACCCGCCCTGCGGGAGGGGGCCTTGTGGAACTTGAGGATGCTGTTGAGCCTGGGGATGCTGATGCTGATGCTGATGCTGAAGATGCTGAGGAACAGCCTGCGGTTGCGGCTGGGCCGGTTGAGCCTGCTGGTGCAGGTGATGCTGTTGAAGGGTTTGTGGGCGCTGTGGAGCCTGTGGGGGCGGGAGCAGCTGGATCTGAGGAGTCGCCTGTGGAAGTGGCGCCAGCGGAGGAGCCAGAGGCGGCGCAGGTTGAGACCGAGGCGACACGTGTAATGGCGATTCGGCCGGCTGCTCGTACAGCAGCAGGTGTGGAAGTCCCGGGTGCTAAGGAGGAGGCGGGAGGTGGACCGGCAGAAAGTAGTCAGTTTGTCTTGAAGGGTGGCCCAGGAAGGAAGTGTTTCTGGAGCGAGGATGGGGCAAAGTGGCAGGCACGGGAGGAGGAGGAGGCGGAGCGTGATCTCGAGAAGGCCATTTGTCTTGAGGCGATACTGGCACAGCCAGACGAGGGCTCAGGGCCAGTTGTCTTGTTTGGGGATGGGTTGAGGAGCGGTCTAGCACCGAGGAGAGCTGGGCTCCCACCATCAACTCGGAGACCGACGGAAGCTTAGGCATAACAGTAGCAGATACATAGACGGGCGGTGCCGACGAATTAGGGATGGAAGGTTGATTGAGATTTAGTATGGGGTATCGAAGGTAGGGCCGGAAAAGAGCGAAATATATAGTCAGATAGCAAGAGAATGCACGACCTGCATGCGGGTGTGGTGGGTTACATGATTTGGCGAAGATGCGCTATTGCCTGACGCACGCTGCAACCGTCTCGGGCAAGCGAGGGCGCCGCCGATCGGGCAAGGTGGAGGCTGCGGAACGAGAATAATAAAGGTGAGGCTTAGGCAGGATGAACAAGGAAAGCTTCGGGCCTGTGTGTGAAGGAGAGGGTGGATTTGGAGGCTGAAGAGGAAGAGGGTGTTAGGATGACTGCATGGGGCCAGATTCCAGCGACCGAGCACGCAGCTCGTGCATGCGGCCGAATACAGGTGGAGCTGCCGGTGCATGGTGAAAAATACCAAACCCACGCAGTGCCGACAGAAGATGCGCATGCATGGAGCATCGAGCGGTGCGGCGCGAAATGCAAAATAGCATGGGCCAGAAAAAAAAAAAAAAAAAAAAAGTGTGAGAAATGGCCAAAACCCAAACGTGCCTTGTCTGCCGGTCTGAAAGTCTGTTTGACTTTTTGAGAGATGCTGCAGCGACACAGTCCGCATTCTCGAAGCGAGCAGAGGCATTCCAGGGACAATAGGCCATTTTTGCGCTTACGCCCTGAGCCCCCAGCGAAGATTCCACCAACACCAGGGTGGTAACTCGTTGTTCAATCAGAGGAAGGCTGGCATCATGCATCATTCAAAACATAGGTGAGACAAACGAATGACAAATCCGCGTGCGGGCCCCCCCACTGGCAGGTTGCTGGATTGTCACCTGGCCAGACGGCAGCACCGAAGGTGCAATACCCGCTGGCGAGAGGCACAAAGCGTTAGAGCACTGGCGCAGCGACTTTTGTGAACAGTGGGAGCCGCCGTGCCTAGGCCAGGCCAACCAGAATCGGCTGATTTAGCGAGGGCCCAAAATTTCCCATTTTTTTTTAGTTTGTGCCTTGGCTTTTCGGTACGGCCCAAGTGGTAGGGAAGCTGCCGCGGCATGGGGTGAGAAAAGCTGTCGGTGCGAAGCGATCATGTGGTGGTGCCAAGTCGCTGCGCTGACGTGGAGCGGATTTGCATCTTGCTGCGACAGAGCCTAAGTCAGCCGGGCAGTCACGAAATAGAATTTAGAGTTGGTCACAAAAATCGTAAAGAATTTTGGAGGATCTCCTGTCTGCGCCGCCGAGGACGAGGATTATCTCCGAGAGCCCTGATTTGTGTGTTTTTGTGGAAGCTTCGCCCCGTTTTTCCCCTGGTGCCACGGCCGGCTCCCAATAGCCCCGGGAGCCGCGCCAACTTAGCACTGCTCGCCTGGCACCCCCCAAGCACAACTAAAACCGGCGCCAGGCGGCACCCCCAAACAGCCAAGCGGTAGGTGCCCGATGCCTAAACCAAAAATAAGGTTTGATTTGTGCCACATTGAGAATATTAGAAACTAGCATACACTAGAGGCTATAGAGTATTTAGTACAAGGAATTTTATTAGTGTCGAATGGAACCGGGCCAATTTCAAGAGTCGTTCCACCAGGGTATACTTACCGGGCTCACGCGGTCGCCTAGGGTATAGTTACCTGGTGGGTGAGGCTTGCGCGCGGGCATCCTGCCGAGCTTTAGAAGCCCTTAGTCAAGCTCAGCCAACGGAAGGCTCGGGAAATCCTGGGTGACCAAAGCCCACCACGTCCTCGTCGTTTCTGCCTCGCCTCCTAAGTCAGGGCTCCCATTTTGTGCGTAAATGCAGAGGCCTAGCACAAAATGGCAGGTCCTGGTGGCACAAAGCTGGGCGGCAGGCAGGACGGCCCCAGGCTGGCGCGGAAGCGAGAGTGCTCCTGAGCCAGGGCCTAAACCGCGCACAGTGGGCTAATCGCTGCACCCGCGCTGCAAACAGCGTGAAAAGCTTCGTTCATCTGAGTTACGAGCAGCCCCGGCGGCTCCACGGTTTCAGCGGGTGGTCAAGTGGATGGAGGTAATTGTTGTCGTGAAGATTTTGGCACCGCAGTCAATTGCTCTCAATTGCAACAGTAACGAATCATGGCATAATCCATCCTACCATGCCATTGAAAAGCACCCCCAGCTCGCTAATTCAATTCCGTAGCCAGCAAGTGGTGGGCCTGCCGGGACGGTGCAGTTGGGAATTCGTCACAGACACTGCAGGCCGCAGGCGTGCACGAAGCACCGAAGGATTCAGCTGCGGAGCGCCAAACCCACAAAACCTCGGCGAGAAATCCATGTCACATCTCGGCGACCGAAGCGAGCAGGGGCACCGACGCAGCACTGTTTGCGTTAGCCCAACGGGGAAGGACAGACAACTTTGCCGTTTTCGCTCTTTTTTTTTAGCCCCACGCCCATTCGGTCTTGTAACCGGTTCCTCGCTTTTCTCTTTGTGGCCAGGTAGCTTTGTGCCCTGGAGCTCCTTCGTCGCATGTGCTGCCCTAGTGGGACGCTGCCGCTGCCGGAGTGCGTGTGGAACAGGGCCGTCTCGACAAGGTATTCTCACAACCAGGGCCTGCCTAATTCGGGCTGGAGGCTCAGGGCCTCCTATCTTACGTAAAATACGTAAATGTGCTGCGCTGGATATTATCTGGGCCTAGTTAATAATGCTCCGCTTACTGGAGCATCGCAGATCGAGCTTTAGCTTCCGCCGATCTCGTGCACACCATTCCTGAAACGCCCAGGGAGCTTTGGACTTCGACCTAGATTATCACCAATTCTACTTTTTCTTCTACTTTTTCTTCTTCGTGTCGTCCCGCCAACTGGCGCGGCTTCGGTACCGCTTTGTTCTCACCTTGCCGTCGCCTATTGTCCTCACCTTTGTCCTCACCTTTGTCCACCTTCGTCTCCTGCCTGTTCCAGGATTGTCAGATCTGCTCCACGGAAGCAGCCATCTAGGCTTCCGCGCTGTCGTACCTTGGTGGGGTGCGGCTTATGATGGACGGGCCGCCGGTCATGCACTTGCATTAGGCTAAGCTCGCAATTGAAATTAGCTCTTTCCTGGAATGGGTAAATCCCACTGGGCATTCTCTGTCTAACGCTTTGATCGTGCGCTTGTCGATCCCACTTTTCGCCAATCTGCAAATCTGGGGCCCGTCCTCACTCGGCACTATTTCCGGATCTTCACGGCAATCTCTCTCTTTTCTCCAGAAGGCCCGCACTCTAGAGTGCTCGCACCGCCGTTCTCGCCGTTCAGGTACACTGCCGCTGCCGGCGTGGTGCTGACAATCGAAACTGAAAAATAACCTCTCAAAAGCCTCCCGACCATTGTCTGGCACTCGTCCGGGGGAATGTGCTGCTTTATTTTTGTTCCCATTATTTTGGCATTATTGTTGTCGCCGCCGTGCCTTTCTCGTTTAGTCCAGGCTGAGCCGTGTCTCCCTTGCCTTTGCGGGCTTCGGTGGCAGTCTCGCTTTCGCAGCCGTTTGCCTTCGCTTACGATCTCTTGCAGCAGGCCAGGGGAAGGCGAAAATACGAACCTCTTCGAATTCGACGGAGAAAAAAATGTACCGCCAAAACCGGCGCCCCTGATTCGCCTGTACTATTTATTTTTGCAATATACTGGTGCTTTGCCTCTGAACTGGTGACCCCCCAGGATCCCGGCCTGCACGCCACTAAGCGACTGCGAAATCAAAACAAACATCATCAACTGTCGCCTCCATCATGGACAAGGAATATCTCCAGGAAGGTAAGTCCAGACGGGCGTATACTTATGGTCAGTTACTAACTCCAGACTTTGATCCGTCCAAGGTCAAGGTGGCCCAATTGCGGGAGATTCTACGGGAAAACGACATTGTGTTTCCCTCTGCCGCAAAGAAGAAAGAACTAGTGGAGATCTTCAACGAGAGCATTGGCAATAAGCATTCATCAAAAGAGGGCCGACTTGAGGCCTCTGCTAATACCCTGAATGCTAATGATACCAAGGATTCCGTTGAGATCATCGAGATCGATGAGGCGTCTCCAGAAGTGAAACCAAAGAAGAAGACAAAGAGAAAGACTTCAAAGAAGCACGTCAAGGCTGAAGAGAAGGAAGGCGTCAAGGAGGATACCAAGGAAGAAGTGAGTCCAGACGCCTCCAAAGCCTCAGTCGATGAGTCTGAAAACTCCACCCTTCAGAAAACACCCAAACCAACTAAAAGTCCTTTCGGCTCCTCGCCACCCTCCAAGAAACTGAAGAAAAGAAAATCAAGTGTGTTTGATGAGCCCAAAAAGACTCCTGAAAAGGGCAACCTCTTCCAGGTCGACATGGACTCCGATTCAGACACTGTCATCTTCAGTCCAAAGCCCAAAAAGGCCAAAACCACGCCACTGCCTGCTCCTGCCAAAACAACCAAGCGCAAAGTCTCATCGAAGAAACAACCCAAAGCTTCGTCCTCTCCTGCCGAGGTTCCTAAGTCAGTCAATCTGGACTTAGAGGATAGCGTTGCCAAATCCACACCAACCAAAGCGGAGCCTGTCTCTCCTAAAGTCGAGACTGAGATCAAACAGGAGGTTCATCGCCCAGTTCTTGATCCTATTCTTGACTCTACCACTGACGCTTCTCGTGACGATTCTGAGGACAAGTTTAATGAATCTTTGAAGAACGAGCTCGTTGACGACGCTACAGGATTCGACGCTGCCCTCTCCAGACTCAAACGCCACGACAGCCAGGATCTGGAACTCACCAAAGAGAGGAAAGATGCAGAGCTTGCTAAGCTACTAGGCGTGGACCTCAATGGCGTGAAACCAAAGCCCAAAGGCAGAAGAAGCATCACTCCTCGCCGGCCAATCATCATCCCCGAGAGGCGGTTGGCCTCTGACAGAGGGTCTCTTCTTGATGACCTCGACAAAGACGTTCCATCGTCTGCAACAGAAACTGAGGAGCAAACCGCTGCCCCAAGTGACGAGGAAGCTGATACGGACATCGAGGACGAGGAGGAGATCTCTGACGAAAAGTCACTTGCATCAAGAGTCAGGAGTCAAAAACGCAAATCCCCATCATTGGCCACAACTTTACTGTTCATTGGTCTTTGGATTTTATTAATTGGCTTCGCTATGTTTGGCTACTGGTATAGAGAGCAAACAATTCTCATCGGCTACTGTGGGCATGAAATTGACAAACCAACGGTTCCACGGCAATCCGACACTCCGGCATTAATTTCTAAACTTGGCAATTACCTTGACAACAATTTCAAACCATCGTGCGTTCCATGCCCGCAGCATGCGAGGTGCTTTACGCATTTAGAATTGGGATGTTATGAGGACTTTGTCGAGTCTAAGCCATGGTACTATCAATATTGGCCGGTGTTTGATCCAAGAGCCAAGAGATGCATTCCAGACACAAAGAAAGCTGAGAAAGTCGAACTCATGATAGACGAGGCTCTTGACTTATTAAGAGCTCGTAACGCTAATATCCAATGCGGCCTGACGGCAGTTGACAACTTTGAAGCGGGCATTGAGGTCAATGAATTGCATGATCTTTTGCTTGCACTCAAAGCCCCATATATCACAGAGGAGGAGTTTGAAGATTTGTGGAAACGTTCGGTTGTTGAGTTGGAGAAGGAACCGGAGATAACGGTAAGGCAAGTTGCAACTCTTTAAGAAGACCTGACGCGGTCTCAAAATTCGAATTTACTAACATTCTAGGTCAAACGATCAGCTAATCACCTTCGTTCCTCAAGTGTCGATTCTGACACTGTTGGTGAGGAGGAAGCCCCGGACACGGTTTTTCGATCAACGTCCTTATCACACATCTCGTTGATGTGCCATCTCTCTAATCACATGGTAGAGTTAATTGTGAGCCATATTCCACATTTGGTTGCTATTGGCGTGGTTGTCATTGCATCTTTCGTCGCACATGCCAATTACCGCCAGTCCAAGCTCCATGCCCACCGTGTGGAAACTCTCTACAACGAGGTTTTGAGAAATCTCAAAAGACAAGCCAAGCAGGCTCGTGACTCCAACATGCCTGCTTATATTGGATCTATACAACTCCGGGACCTCATTCTTAACGAAGAAAGGAATTTGGCCCGCAAAATGAGACTCTGGGAGGCGGTCAGCCGGCGTGTGGATCGTAACACAAACGTCAAGGCGTCATTAATTGAAATCCATGGGGATGTCATGAAGGTCTGGCAGTGGATCTCGAATCTCGAGTGAACTCAGGTCTCAACGTAGCGTACATAGAAATACAACATCATCTCTAGTTGACTGCAACTTTTTGAACGGACTCGACCACGTCCTCGATCTCGTCTTCCTCGTTGCCTGCCAAGCCTTTTTCGAATATCTCTCTGCCTGTCATCTTGCCGTTATGCATCTTTTCAAACCTTTGTCTATCCTTCTGCTCGATTTGCATCTCGGCTCTGAATTTATTACGCCATTCAGAATATGACTCCTTGTTCACTGGCGTTCCAAAGAACTTCTTCTGTTCCTCAGCTTCCTTGGCTAGTAGCTCATCTTCATACTTCTTCTGAGCAGCATCCAACTTGGCCTGAAACAAGGCCTCAGCTTCATCTTTAAGCAATGCTGCCAATGCAAAAACAGAAGGCATACCCACATTCATTTCAGCCTCCTCTTCCACTCTCTTCGTAAGAGAAGCGGCATCCAACTTCCCGAGCTCTATCTGTTCTGAAAGATGAACCAACTTTGATTTATCTTCGTCGTCATCTTCGTCATCGGAAGGTACCGGAAGCTCTTCGCTTTCGACTTTCACCTCCAATTTGGGCACTTCTTCAGGGTATGTTGGAGTGTACTTGACATCCAACACAGTTGAGTGATTTCTATCGGACTTCGTCTCCAAATTCAAAGTGATTGTGAAATGGGTATCGGATAGAATCTCAAGTTCATCTGGGTAGATAGACTGAAGCACCTCGAGCTCCTGCTGCTGCTCTTCTGCTGGATCCATTGAAAGAGTAGTAGTTGGTGAAGAGCGCTGTAGATGCCCAGATGTGCAGGAGATTTGGAGGAACCCAGGTTGGTGAAAGTCAAGCAAGTGAAAACGGATTTTTTGGTTTCATGAAATTTTCAGAATGTTTGAACTTGTTACTTTAGAATAGAAATTGCCAAATAGGCATTGTCGTGATGTTGACTTTTGTGATGGACTGAGTCGAGATCTCAATACTCTCAGATCTGAGAGAAGTCACAATAACCTGAAACATAATCCAGTGGAAAGCCTATCATCATAAAATTTTTGAAATAAAGGCGGCCGACTCTAGAGAAATATTCGAAAGTGTCTGTTTCTCAAAAGGTGGTTTTCAAATGGTGATTTTCAAGATAGTCGAACTCAAGGCACGAACATTGGAACAGCTTCAAAGCAAATCTCAAGAGTACTCCATGTAATACCGTCAATCCCAGTAATCCCTCCTTTGTACCTTCCGCTTCCACCACTCAGCATAATTGCCTTACTACACTCTCTGAACACAAAAGGTACACTGCAAGCACAGGATCTTCGCTCTTCCACCAGACTAAGCAACATGCAAGAAGTTAAACGTAGCATGACCCCAAAAAGCTTATTTGTGTCTCAGCCTCGATCTAGATCTGACCTCGTCTCGCAGGCTAAAGTCCGAGATAGAGCTAAAGCTTGCGATAAAGACTAGCTTACCATTGTATTACTAAGTAAACTACCCAAAACAAGAAGCTTGCTTGTTTCTGCATGGCATGTTACATTTTACCACACGTACGTATTTCCTTCGTTTTTAAGGCACCTCGTGTAACATCGATATCGTCTATGCAAAGGCAGATTTGTCAGGATCTTAGCAGATACCACCCTGCCGAGGCTCGTAAACTACTTGCAGCAGCATAGACGAGTTTTTACAAGGTGCATGAATCGATTCGTAATGGCAGTTGCATCAATGACTGTAGATTGCCGCCTCAAAGTCAAAGCGACCAAGACGCATACAAAAATTAGAGTTTGGCCAACGTATAGAAAATCAAAAGCTTTTTTGCATTGCAAAAATGGATCGGAAAACCTGAAACCAAAGGCACCAAGCATGATTAACAAAACAAATAATAACCTCGTAAGCATACAACGCACCGACGATGCCTTTGTGTTTCGTCACCCACGCATGTTGCTGCAAACAGGGTCCCATAATCTTTGACTGGTGTTACATACGACGTCACCTGGGCTGCTTAACGCTTCCAGCAGGATCCCTTTCTGGCACCATTCTCGGGTCTGACCGTTGTGCGGTTTTTGTTCTATATTAGGAAGGTTCAAACGCCCAACACAGGTGCCTCGGCGCCCGGAGTTGAAAAACGACAAGAAAACTCAAGAGAAGCGAAGAAGAAGAATTTTTGTTTTTGTTCCATATTGTTGGGCAAATGGGATATTTATATCTGCTGGGTGGTGGGCTCCTGCGGATAGCTACCGTCGCGTACCGCTCTTCACTTCCCTCCACAACTACTTTTCTTTAGATCTCGTGATATCAACAATCCTTCAGACTTTCATCTTTCCGTCATAACATACATTGGAAGCATGCCTCCCGATATACTTTGTCCGCCAAACACAACCACAACAGACTACGCCTATCCAGAGTCACACCCTCTACATTTGAACAATTACCCTACAAGCCAGCGATCACTGATATCCAGCAGCGAGGACCTGGATCTTCATGACTTTGGACCCACAGAGTACGATGACGATGACACGCTAGGGCCTGAGGAGATTAATTGCAAAGCTGTTGCGCTTTTTGACTTCGAACCCGAGAACGACAACGAGGTGGCTCTCAGAGTGGGCCAGGTAATCTGGATTTCTTATAGACACGGACAGGGCTGGTTGGTAGCGGAGGACCCAGATCTGGGCGAAAACGGGCTCGTTCCCGAGGGTTACGTGGAGATCTGTGCCCCTGAGGAGGAGAGCATCCAAGACGAGCCCAAACCTTTCATACCACGAGTGCTCCAGAACGTCAAGAATCCAGAAGACGATAGCGACTGGGAAGATACGGATTTCGAGGATGCACACACGGCAGAATCGCCAGCGATCCCGCTGGATAGACAATCGTCGCATTCCAGGGACTCCAGAGACTCCAAAGAGTTAACCTCTCTTGGCGCAAAGATGGAGGACTCCTCTCTTCAATAGCATCCATGATCAAACATTACGAAGCTTTGGCTTCTTTCCGACTCCCATCGCACATATGCTCCGTGAGATCAACGCGCCATTGATCGAATGGGCACACCCCTAACCCAATGCTTCGGCATGGTACGACGACACGTCATTGCACTACTTTTCTAAGATTGAACACCCTCTATCCCGTCATTCGCTTAATGTACAATTCTTAAGACCACTCCGTAGCAAAAGTGTAGATACTCCATCATTGTACAGGAAGATCTCATCAATCACCAACTACTCATCTTCAAACACAACTGCCAGTGGATGCAGGGACCTCCTGAAGAACTACCGACAAAGAAAGGAGAATTCACAGATCAGAAACAGAGTCTTGAAAATGTTCAGGAGCTGACAGACCCTCAGGATCAACGCGATGAGATGAGGCCATCGTTATCAACTAATAATGATCAAGACACTCCGGCTACAGAGGATACAAAAGAAAGCCTGGTGGCCAGTTTTGAAACCCCAACTTCAAAATCGAACGTCAAGTCAGATAGGGCGTTCAGAGGAGACTGGGGATATGTCGATTTATACAACGCATCTGTTGACAACTTCTTCAGTCTAGAGTACTTGGAGCTACCGAAATCGAAGAAACGCAAACTTGAAGACAGTGTGGTAACGACCGAACGAGCATACTACCGACCAGTAAAGGCAGAAGGTTCCACTGACGAGATTAATGGGCATGCTGATCAGCTGAACCCTCACGAAGATCTCTTCGATAGCTTGAAATCAGGGACTTATTGGACAGCAGATGAGAAGGAAATTTTTTTCAGTTTTCTCGCCAGATTCACCATTCACAGGGTCGAAGACTTCCTTGATCACCTACCGTCCAAAAGCATGGGCGAAATATTGGCATATTACGAGCTCCTCAAGCGTGAGCTACGAAACCAACAAATCTGTGAAACACACTCCGTTCATATCATAGAGGATCAGCAGGATCCCACGAGGCTTCTAAGACATGAATATGATATAATGACAATCCCAGGGGGTATCGATCAGAGGAATATCCCAATTGCATACGAAATGAGTGACGAATGGGTGGAATATGAGGAGGAGCAAAGCATCCATATTGCTGACAGACAGGGCCGTTTGGACGTGGACCGTGGAAAGCGGGAATCTAAGGCAATGAAGGATTATACCAAAAAACTGGAGGATGAGTTAGGCGAGAACTTCCCGCTTGTCGATGTGAACAACGCATTTAAAGTGAGCAAGATCTACCGAGGTAATCAAATCACAATGGTTCAGGATCGGAAGCCGACTCCACGTTTGTTGTTTCCGTCTTTGGTTTATTTTGAAGAGATCGCTAGTCTTACAATTAAAAAAATTATTGCGTCTTTGTTGATGAACAAAGGCTGCACCTCCCGGGACGAACAGGGCATCAAAATAACACCCGGCGACGTCTGGAATGCTGTTAGAGAGTCCCGGATTTGCGAGGCGCCGAAGTCAGGGAAAGTGGAGGAGAGAAATTGGAAAAATGGCGTGCTCGAGAATTATTGGGCAGGGTTACAATCATCCTTGCGCCTCGTTACTGACGGGCCGCCCGCAGAAGCACCGGATTGGGAGGACTTTACTCCTCGGGAGTTGCATGGCGTGATTGTTCCCCAGGAAAAAGAGGCGTCCTTCGAGTACCCGGATGAGGTTGTGGAAGATGGAGCTTACGGAGCGATTTTAGACGAAGACGGAGTCGAGCTCGAGGAAAATAAAAGCGAAACTGAAGATCCCGAAGGCCCCGACTGGTGGACTGTCTCAAAGCAGAAAAGACCACAGTTGGACCCACCACAAGTGATAGATGTGTTGGCCGAAGAAACAAGGCTGATAGCATTGCTCAAGGACGCCACCGACGTTGCTGTGGATGATGCGCTTCTCCTGAAAGAGACCCGCCTCCTCGAGTCGTTTGACCGACGCAAGCATGAGGCCTTAGCTCGTGCTGCAGAAACCGCTTTCGAGGGATTTAACGGCACAGCCTCGAGTATCAGCAGAAGCAGCAGCTCCAGCGGGGACGAGGAGAGTGCTGTAAAATTACTGGCAAGCCTACGAAGCGCCTGGAACCGCCATGCCCTGTATTAGAATCTATAGATGCCTAGGAGCCATACTTGGAAAGCATGATGATGCCCACGTCAGACAAGATGCAAATGAAAGTAGTGAGTAGAAGAATTGAAGGAGTGAAGCGTGAGAAAGCTTGGAACCACAGCTTACTGGTGTTTCCAATTTGCACTGGTGTGTAAAGTTCAGCAAAGGACCTGAGGTTTGCGATGTTGAAAACCACCACCACAAGCTCATATAAGATGAAACGGCAGATGATGTAAAACTTGATGCTAATGACGCCCACATGGTACACGAGGGGAAGTGTAAGGCCGTCGTGGAAGGGGAAGTCGAAGTTGATGGTAGCAAATGAGTGAGCCATGAACACAGGAAGCATATTGTTGTTTGTCTCGACAATCACAGTAAGAAGGTTTGTGGCAGGCGATCTGGGCACCAGGCCCTTTTCTGAGAATTCGTCCTTGTTGGAGTCGATAACGTTGAAGATAAGCACGATGTAGGGGCACAAGATCTGCCACCAGATGAAGACCCTGAGCATGACGGAGATATCGGAGTACAACAAGGAGTATTTTGGATAGAAAAGGAGCACCACGACGCCGAACTCCTGGAGCACGAGGAGCGTCGATTCGACGAGGAGGTTGGTTCTCCGGGTCAAGCTTTGCAGCGACATGGCAAAGCGAAGTATGAAGACAAGATTGACGATATTGTGGAAAACGTCGAGGAAATAGTCGTCCGTGTCGAAGTAAGACATTTCGTTCATGGCCCAGGCGGCAGAGACCTGGCTATACTGCAACCGTAGGAACAGGCCCAAGGTCAAGAGACAGGCTAGCCATGGATTGTGCAAAACGGAGCAGAAGACAGTGTCTAATAGCCATGCAGCAGAGGCAAGCAGCGGGGAGCAGGCCGCTAGCGCCTTTTGGTTGTGAAACATTGGAACGTCAATATGGTGATGATGTTTTTGGAAAAAGAAGGATCTCGGGAAGCGCAGGCAGGGGAAACGGCTGCTTTTAAATGGTCCCCACGTGGAATCGTTATGCGCGATGGATCAGTTGACAGCTTAAGACAATGCCCACGGGGCTGAGGTGGGGGGCTTCTGGGTACTAAGCACAGCGTGAGCGCGAATTACGACAAGCGGCAAGCCTCCACAGATGAGGGTGAAAAGTTGCAGGTGGGACCCTAAAAAAACTGGTGGTGGTAGGCTACTTTCTTGATGGAGGTGTCCTTCTTATATCTTTAGCTTCGGGCGGGTCCAATGCAGGCGCAGCTGTTGCAGCAAATAGGCGCGGGATACGAGAGGAAGCGGCGCAAGTCTATTTTCGGGCGGCAGCAGTTACTGGTTTTTAAACTCTGTGCTTTTTTGTGTTTAAGGTTATTATTTAGGGGCTTCTCCTGAGCGCGGGGGTGCTCCCAGTCGCATGCGCCTTGCTGTCAATGTTAAGCGATGCTGCGCCCTTTGACACAAGCGCCTCTGAGTGAGAGCTTTTTCGGCTAGTGGGCAGCCGCACGTCACCTCCGTTTCGGCTGCTCATCATCACGTTGCAATAGGTCAAGCGCTACGACATCGCTGAATATTTTTTCCGACAAGCGGCAAATCTAAATTAAAAAACGGTATTTCGGACTTTCTTGGAGCCTACTGTGCTCTTTTTGACTTACCCTGAAGCTTGCGCCCGGCGATCATTCTCTTCATCTAAGCCCGCGTCTGAGGCATTTCTTCTGCACGGCCGTCGTATGTGGCTTTCTCCGATTACTTCAAATTCACCGTGTCTAGGTTAGCCTTTTGGGTCCAGCACGCCGCTTCGGCCGTTACCTGGCGCAGCTGCTATTCATGACCTTCGCCTCAGCTGCCGGAAATTCCCCATTGGAGGAGGCTAACTGTGGTTCTTCCTGTGAAGCTGGTGAGTAATCTGAGTAATCCGTGGATGCTGGCTTTTTGTGGTGCAAAACCGCTTTAAGGTTTATCCCTTCGGCGGATCACAAAAGCTAATTGGGGCGTTGCCACCTGCGATCGGAGTGTTATTAATCTTCCCTTTTACTGCTCTTGGCTGAATTCCCCAGTGACACATTTGGCGATCTCTTCCAACCTTGACTTTATATTTCGTGTGGTATGTGCTTTAGGTTCGTAGAGCCGCCGCCAGGGGTTTGGGGATTGTTGAAGTTGCTTGTTGAAGAGTCTGAAACATGAAGTCGCTGTTTCCGTCCTGAAAAGAAGCTTTAACGTTCTATCAGGGCCAATCGGCTTTATCAGGGCGGAATTCGACTAGGTTTCGCCGGCCTGGTTGTTGAAAAGAGTGTTGTGGTTTCCAAATGAGTCAGGGTGCTGACAATTGACTAGAGGTTTTTCTGCAAGAGCAACAGAAATGTCTTTTCGTGCCTCAAGCAGTTGACGAGTATGTGGAAACGTTTTCTTTGTTGAGAAAAGCATTTATCAGTACTTCTTTTTTTTTTTTTTATTTATTTAAGAAGCAGCATCTATGCTGCCATTTCAAACTAACTCCTTGTTACAAGGCCAAAAAGTCTGATTGATTGTTGATACTACGAACCATAAAGCATTCATGGTTTTTGCTTTTAGCCTTCCAACTTGTTGTTCGGCGATAGTTAAAATCTGGCCTCGAGGTCTTTAGCGTCCAGGACAGTTGCCATCTGCTACAGTATACTGAATTTTGCATGAAGAGGTTGACGAAGGGCTTTTTTGATTTCTGAAGGACTTGATGGTATCTCGGAATAATTCTTTTTAGAACAGGGAGGTTCAGCCTATTACACTAAGGAGGAGAAACGCATCTTCACTAGAGAACCTACGGCTTTTAAGCAGAATTATAAGCGACTGTTGCAACGTTGAAGCTTCTTGAAAAGGCCCAGTAAGCAAAAACTACTAACATGATGGTTCTCAGAGAATATTCAAGTCATAATGTCCAAGATTTTAGTGTCAAGAGTTGGGCACAATTATCTCACAAATTCTCCAGCATCTGACAAATGAACCATTGATTGTAACATGACTACATTTTCACATTAATTGTGCCAGCTCACCATTATGTCAATTGAACGACATCATACGCTGGCAGTGCATAGGGCTGCCATTGAGCTTAAGCCCTGTGGTACCCCTTAATTATGACCTCCAAGTCTACCCAATTTTTTCAAAATTTTATCAAAACTCCAGAAATTTCAAAACCCATGGTACTAGTTCCTCGGCTTTAGCCCGTCTTATAGTACCATCAACAGATCTGTATAAAAGGCCATATACAATTTTAGCATATAGCTCGAGGCCTGGGCGCGGAGAAGCCCAGAGTGGAATCTCCTGCATATATTGACGGCGTTCCAAGCGGCCTTTCGCAACAAAGCACCCAAATTGGCTGAGTGCTGGGCTCAGGAGGTGAGATTCGTTTACAGGGTGGCCAGTTTTGTGCCAATCAGGATGCTCCAGCTATCCCAGGCGAATTGGACGTGGTGTCACTAGCCTAGGTGCAGGACAAGTCGTTCAATTGCTGTCACCATTTGCTTCGTACCTTTCGCTGAAATGATATCGGGGGCCTGGGCCAGGTGCACTGGTGTAATTTATCCATTCCTGCACAATTGCTCGGGCCTGTCGTCATATCCATCCCACTGGAAGCGCACAGAAGGACAGCCAACAAAAAAGAGGCACTGGAGGTTTTCAGTATAAATACCACCTGTCCCGCACACAGTCCCAATTTCGCCAGGAAAAAAAAACTCAACCCTATTTTTTTCTTACCAACCAAAAATAAAAATGTCCCAGGTCTACTTTGATGTCTCCGCCAACGGCGACAAGCTCGGCAGAATCACCTTCAAGTTGTACAACGACGTTGTGCCAAAGACCGCCGAGAACTTCAGAGCTTTGTGCACTGGTGAGCAGGGTTTCGGTTACGCCCAGTCTGCTTTCCACAGAGTGATCCCTCAGTTCATGTTGCAGGGTGGTGACTTCACCAGAGGTAACGGTACCGGTGGTAAGTCTATCTACGGTGAGAAGTTCGCTGACGAGAACTTCTCCAAGAAGCACGACAGACCAGGTTTGTTGTCCATGGCCAACGCTGGTCCAAACACCAACGGCTCCCAGTTCTTCGTTACCACCGTTCCATGCCCATGGTTGGACGGTAAGCACGTTGTCTTCGGTGAGGTCACCGACGGTTTCGACGTTGTCAAGAAGGTTGAGAGCTACGGTTCCAACTCTGGTGCCACCTCCGCCAAGGTCACCATTGACGCTTCCGGTGAGTTGTAAGCAATGAGATGAATTACGCTATCAATTGAATCTGTAGAGTAGGCAATTGTAGATTTACAAGATTTACAAATCATTCAAACTTGAAGAAGGCATGTTCTTTTATTCATAAAATTTACAACTTGGCAGATGAAATACCATCGTAGCCAGAGACCGTAACGCCAGGCTCGGACTCGACTCCGAAGTAGGACACTGTCTTGGAGTCAGCATTGACAATCAATGCGTATCTGTTGGTTCTGACTCCGAGGCCAGCGTCGGTCAAGTCCAAGGAAAGTCCGTTCTTCTGGGAGAAGGCAGCATTGGGGTCAGAGGCAAAGATAATCTTTGGCAAATCGTTCGAGGCACTGATCTTCTGCTGCTTCAAGAGCAACTTACCCCAGGCGTTGATGACGAATGGGTCGTTGGCACTCAAGAACACCGCAGTGGTGATGTTCTTCTTGGACTTCAACTCCTTCAAGTGCTCCAAAATTGGAGGAATGTGGTTCTCCGTGCAAGTTGGAGTGAAAGCACCTGGAACGGCAACGAAAAGCACATTGCCACCCTGGTTCTTCTCGAGCAAGCCGTCCAAGCCCAAGCCCAATGGTCTGCCACAGGCAAGACCGTCGTCCTGGTTGAGCGTCTCGAGCTCAATTGGCACGTATTTGAATTCGAAACCGGATGGGAACTTGTCACCTTGAGAAAGAGTCATAGTAAATTTTGTGTGTGAGGTGGAATTGTGGATGGGGAACTATTGTCCTTATATAGTGGGGATTCATGCAAGGAGTGGACGGGACCGAGTTGACAGATCCACGTGAGAGCAACCGGAGAAAGCCGATGATGTCGAGTTCGGGTATCTCGGTAAATAGCAGAGAATCAGAAATGATCAATTGAGCTAATAAAATGTCTAAATTTTTACAAGTGTTGGTGCTTTGGAAGGATTTGTGTTTGTTGGGCACATTTTACTTGCTAGGGTGAAAATCGCACCCTGATTGCAAACTAACGTCATACCGGCTTTGTAATAGTGCATCCTTCTCAGGATCCGCCCGAGCCTACAAAGAGAGCAACTATTGTAAATCCAAGCCAATTGCATGCATAGGCGGTAAGAGCGAGAAAGACTGACTTGACGTTTTGAAGGTCTAGATCCAGCCACAGTGCTGCATGGCTAACAGGGTGAGAAAGGCAACAGAGGTGGTGAGGTTAGGGGACGTATACGGTGCTTTAAATGGGGGTAGTTTAAATTGGTCAATTGGGTGTGGATGGGGATAAGGGGTACATGGTGGCTTGGGAATCTTATGAAAGAAGAATTTGGTCTAATTTTGCTTCGTCTATTTTTTAGTCAGATCGACCGGCCTGAGGTTAGTTCACACGACTCGCTAAGGTTGCATTTAAGGTTAGTCGCTTGATCTCGGAGATGTAACCTTCTCGGAGGATGCAACCAATAGACGATGGAATTTCGACAGAAATAATAAAAACTTATTGGAATTGAAGTTGAATTTCACCTAATTGACACTCTTCACTCGCCTGGTTCAGCCGTTTGCACCCACCCGCACTTCAGCCTCAACAACTCCGCGACGGCACCACCATACCAATTGACCATACCAATTGAAGATACATAAGAAATCCATTCTTTCCATTTTACTCGCGTCCATTGCAAAATCACAGTGAACACGCATTCACCAAAACCTACTCTATATACGACAATGGACCTTCACGGCCCCACCTACCATAACAGACTATGCTCACCGCTGGCCTTGGCAGCCAGCACTCATTCAACAACCCACCGATCCCTCGAAACGTAAAACAAATTTTTCTGATCCAATACCCGGTAATTCAACATCACGAATACCCCGTAAATAAGTACCATAAATTTTAATCTCTTCCGCTTCTGTATTGTGTCCCTGCAACGGCCTGCGTGGAGATAGACCCCATCTTTTTCTTGATGTCTCACTTGAACCACCATGAGTAACACTGAAGACATTGAGTTCTCGCTCAGGCCCCTAAGGATCCTGAAGCGTCTGGATCTGTCGATACATAGAACACAATCCCAGCTGGGTCGCTCCGACGGCTCGCGATCTAGACCCCAATCCGACTCCCTGATCCCAACTACCACCAACACCAACTCGGCTCTGTTGCTGACTGACGACTTTGTTTGCCGGCCCATGAGACTAGGGCTGAACTCCAGACCCATCACCGAGCCAGATCACAATCAGGGTCTTTCCTTTGTCGCTCCTGAATCCGTGGACTCCGAATCCCAGCCCTCTACACCTAGAAGGAACAGTAAGTCGTCCAGAAGACTGTCTGTGCATGTGAGGAACCTTCCGATCGTGCAATCTCCAAGACGCAAGGTCGAGAGTGACTTGTCGAAACTAGACGATATGATATTTGCATTGTGTCTCGTGGATTTCCACCACGTTAGAGGCCCTGAAGTGCAGTGGTGGAAGCTGAACTACCATGCTGACTACAACTTGCACGAGAAGCTCTTCAAGAACCTCTCGTTCCAGGCGCTCCCTGATGGGTCGCATTTGTTTGAAGAGACCTTTTCAAACTTCAATCTTATTTACGACTTTGAGAAGTCAGTCTCCTTAGACGACCAGCTAGACTTTGAGCAGTTCACGGGAAACCCAAACCACTTAGAGACGCTTTTCGGGTGTTCATGCGTTCGTCAGGTCAAGACTGCAGATCTCTCTTCCGAGGAACTTGAGAGAAATAAGGACATTACTCGTTCCATCGTGCAGAAGGCGGTCGTGGTGATCACACGGAAACAGCCCATCTTCACCAAGATCAAGGAAAAACTCTCCATCATCACCCATTCATACTTTCAGCAGACCAACTTCACGAATACGGACCTTTTGGAGCATCTCTTTGACAATTTGAACAGTACGTTTAAGCTTGTCGAAGACGAACTGACATTGAAACCTCAGATCCCCGAGGACATGGCTCTTTTGGAGAATAAGAAGAACGAAAAGGAGGATGAGTTTTTTGTCAACCTCAACCTTCGCAACATCCTCCTAACCTACAAATCCAGTTTGCTCATTATCCTCAAGGCTCTCTTGCTTGAAAAGCGAGTTCTCGTCTATTCAAACAACAATTTGGAGCTTTTGACGCAATTCCAAAACAACCTCATTGCTTTGATACCCGATCTTCATCATCATCTCGACCTTTCTGGCTGCCCGTTGAGCGACTACACTGAGAAGCACTCGCCATTGACTAGACCGACTTCTCTAAAGACTAATGATAGACTGTCAATGGCGCGGTTTTTCGGTCTTCCATTGCAAGTGTCCAACACCAAGGGATCTTTTTGGAACCCCTATCTTCCTTTGCAACAATTTGACGAGCTCAACTCATCTTCGTTCATGGTGGGCTGTTCAAACATGTTGATTCTCAACCAAGCTGCCCACTACAAGATTGACTTAGTTGTCAACTTAGACACATGTCAGCTCTCTTATCCTTGCGGAAAGAGCGAAGAACTTCTGCTTTCTCATTACGACAAGAGGTTTATCCAAGGTCTCACGAACTCTAGCAGTGATGTGGATGCGTTTGTTGGAAGCGACGATTTCATCAGATATCAATTTGAAGACTACATTCGCAGTCTCCTTTCGACAATGAGGTTCCACCAGTACATGAACAAGTTCAAATCAGCACCTCCAGGATTCGACGTGACTGTGAACAGACATTATGGCAGCCTCAAGACATTCAACGAAGCCTTTGTCGAGGCCTGGTTGAGTACAAAGAATTTCAAAATTTGGGATGCACTTTGTGATGATTTCATTTTCAACTTTCATGACCCACTTCATATGGCCATCAACTCAAAAGAGTCTTCTCAATCGGGCATTGGTAACTTCTTTGCCAGTTTCAACAAGCAGACAGCACCATCTCTCACGGAAAAAGCGAATGAGTATTTTTCGAACTCAAGGAAACCACAAAAATTTATTCCTGATGAGGAGGAAGGCGGTGAAGAAAAATCTTCTAAGCAATCTACACCAAAGAAGTTCCCATGGAGCTGGGGAGCTAAGAGCTGATTCATCGAATGGCTGCAAAATGCGTCTGCCAAGTACGGAGTGTGCAGGACAGATGAGGGACAACCTGAAAAAGTACAGAACAACCTCCTTCATCTGTCAGATCTCCAACTCGAGATGAAGCACCCTTTCCAAAAACTTACGTCGGACAAATCCGGCGAGCATCTTTTTGCTACAGTCAAAAACAGCCTACTTGTGTTCCGTTTGACGGATGGTGCTCTCATTGGATCTTGGACCGATGATGTGAAGTTGCAGGACGTTCAGGAGAACAAGTTCAAGAAGGATGAACAACCTGCGAAGAAAGCAAAGACAAACAAAAAGGAACCAAAGGTCCCTGTACCAGGCCCTGGAGCCCCACCGATCTACAACTACATTCGTTCCTTAACCTTGTCAAGAAATGAGAAGTACATAATCGGAACCACCGATAGTGACAAGGCTGCCGTGATCTTCAAAATTGACCACTCACAAGAGAACTGTATATCATTGGTGAAGAGACAAGTTTTTCCCAAGAGACCTTGCGCAATTGCTACAACCTTTGACGACTCGCAGTTGATTGTGGCTGACAAGTTTGGTGATGTCTACAACATCCTGATTGACGACAATGAGCCTGTGGATGAGAAAACTTTACAACCAATTCTCGGTCATGTCTCTATGTTGAGTGATGTTCTCGTAGCGAAGCACGAGGGCAAGCAGTATATCTTGACTGGTGATCGTGACGAGCACATCAGAGTGACAAACTTTCCTAAATCCTATGTGGCTAAGCAGTGGTTGTTTGGACACAGAGAGTTTGTTTCCAGCTTGCATATCCCAGATTTCAATAACGATATTCTCATAAGTGGTGGGGGTGATGATTTCCTCGTATTGTGGAATTGGTACACAGGCGAAAAGCTCACAGATATCGAACTTCGTGAATTTGTCGAGCCATTCTTGAACGATAATCATCTTCCACCCGAAAGGTTTAGAACGGAGGACCTGAAAAAGGAGATCTCCATCACAAAACTTGAGACCTTTAGGCAAGGAGAACAAGATATTCTAGCTGTTCTCTGCGAACAAACCAACTGCTTACTCACTTTCGTCATTGGAACCGACATGTCAATCACACACAAGCAGACCCTCACTACTGAAAGCACTTTGGTAGACTTCACTTTTGCTAACGGCAAGATCTATGCTGCTCTTGACGTTGAGAGTGACTCCTCAATAGTCGCTGTCTACGAGTTTGACGACGCAAACACTTTGCACCCAAGAGAAACGAACGTTCTGAATCACATCACTGATGCCTCGCCTTGTGAGGTGGATGGTCGTGACCATTTCTATCCCTTGTACTATATCAACTCTTTGAGAAAAAGAAGTGATCATTAATAAGCACATTAAATAGCATTTTTGATATATATCTAATCACTCGGCCTTTTCTGTCGTCTCTTCTTCATCGACAAGACCGCCTTGCTTAGACAAGGCATAAAATAAGGAGTCCTTATTCTTCAACAAGTTCTCTGGAGTATCAAACTCAGCAACTTCTCCTTGCTCGAGAACAACAATTCTGTCAGAATCCATGATAGTGTTCAATCTGTGGGCGATCGTCAAGATAGTCCTGTCCTTGAACTCATTCCTGATGGTTTCTTGCAACACACGGTCTGTCTCAACATCAACAGCTGCTGTGGCCTCATCCAAAACAAGAATATGGGATGGGATGAGCAATGCTCTTGCGAGACACATCAATTGTCTTTGACCAACAGACAAGTTAGAGCCACCTTCTGTCATCTTGACATCCAAGCCATCCTTCATGTCCTTGTCGTCCTCATCTCTCTCATTGTACATCTTGAGGACATGGTCCTTCAAATGAGACAATTCCAAAGCCTTCCAGATGTTCTCGTCTGTGAAAGATTTCGAAGGATCCAAGTTTTCTCTGATAGTACCTTCGAAGACTTGAGCATCTTGTGGAATAATTGAGAGCTTATGTCTCAAATCTTGCAAACCAAGCTTGCTTGTATCAAGGCCATCGATATCAATGTTTCCCTCGGCAGCTTCGATGATTCTGAACAAAGCAAGAGTCAAAGAAGACTTACCTGCACCTGTTCTTCCAACAATTCCAATCTTTTCATGGGGCTTCACCTTAAGGTTGATTTTCTTCAAGACCAAGTCCAACTCTGGTCTATATCTTGTGGAATAGTTCTTGAAGATGACCTCACCCTTCTCGGGCCACGATGCTGGTGGTCTGTTGTTCTCGATAATTTCGGGGGCCTCGGGAGTCAATTCGGAGTATTCAAGCACTCTCTCGACAGACACGATGTTTGTCTCAACTTCAACAGTCATTCTAACGATCCAGTTCAAGGACTGAGTAATCTGCAATGCGTAAGACACAGACAAACCGACCAAACCGGCACTGATGCCGCTCGACTTCAAAGTCAAAATAGCCAATCCAGAGGATGCCAAAATAATGACGGAACCCAAGAACTCGAGTCTCACAGCCAACCATCTGTTGGCATTCACGGAGGGATGGTATGCTCTCATGTTCTTATCAATTCTTGCCTGGTTCAAGAACTTAAATCTTTCAACTTGGCCATAAGCACGAATAATGGAGACACCATTCAAAGATTCCTGGAAGTTGGCAAAGATTGGGGATCTAGACACAGAGTCCAAACGACGCAACTCTCTCGAGGTCTTCAAATAGTACTGCTGGTAATAGACGTACAAGATTCCCAATGGAGCAGCAATAAAGATGAATTGCCATGTTGAGTAACAGATGACAAGGATGGTGAACAAGACTCTAGCCGAATTGGTAAAAAACATAGCAAAAACACGACCCAAGATCTCATCAATCTTGTAGATGTCATTGGAGAATCTATTCAAGATTCTGCCAATGGGGGTCGTCTCAAAGAATGACATAGGGGCTCTCAAAACACTGGCCGCCATATCATTATGCATCTTCCTCGATCCATGAATGGTACACAAAATCCACATGATAATCATCTGGGACATCATACTGACAGAGTACAAGAATCCCAAGAGGAAGTAGATACCCAAATACTTGACCAAAGCAGGATTGTAACCTTTCTCTGTGTTGACCTCAGACCAGTGCTTTAACCAAACGTTGGAGCTCACATTGAAGGTCATCGAAACAATTGTGGAAGCCAAAAAGATGATAACGTTGAATGGGCCACATGCTTTAGCATATTGTCTGTACACGTCCCATTTGACCTTGCCCTGCTGATACTGCTCTTTTCTAGCCTTGGTGTCCTCATCTTCTTCCTCCTCTTCATCATCAGCCAGGCGAAGCAAGCGCTCCTCATCTGTGATCAAAGTAGCGTCTGAAGCTCTTCTCAAACTCCGGATTTCAGAATCCGAAGTGTTCTCAGAGCTGGCAAGGTTGTCAGTGTCTTTGAGATCTTCCAAATCGGAGTTTCTTACTGACGTAGCAGAGGAAGATGGAACAGTCGAGTCATCACCCCTCTTAGAACCAAATGAAAGAATAAGCTGGCGCAACTGACTTCTCTCTTGTGACATGATCTCCAAGTAAGTACCCTGTTCAACAAGAGTGCCATCCTTTACCATGTGCATGTTGTCAGCAATAGACAACACGTGAATAGCATTGGTTGCCAAAACCTTACACTTGGACTTCAAGAGACCATTGGGACCCAAAACATTGTCAATCAAGTGTCTTCCAACGTGCTCATCAACGGCAGACAATGGGTCATCCAACAAGTAGACATCAGCTCTTGCGTAGACAGCTCTAGCCAATGCAAGTCTGGCCTTCTGACCACCAGACAAAGAGATACCCTTTTCACCAACCTCGGTCTTATCACCCTTTGGCAAGATCTTCAAGTCAACGGTAAGCGCACATGCTTTCAAAACCTTTTGGTAGAATTCAGGATCTTCCTTGTGACCAAACAAGATGTTTTCCTTCACTGTACCGTTGACAATCCAAGGAACCTGTGAAACGTAAGCAACCTTACCACGGACCTTTACTTCACCGTCAAGCTTGTACAAATCACCCAAAAGAGACTGAATGATCGATGATTTACCGGAACCAACCTTACCAACAATACAATCCAATTCACCTTTCTTGACGGACAAATTGATGTTGGACAAGGCAACCTTGTAAGATTCCTCACCCTTCTGTTTAGACCACAAGAAAGTACCGTTCTTGATAGAAACAGCAACATCACCAACAGAGGTTGCCTTTGGGAGGTTTGTGACAGCGTTGGCCTGCAACTCGCTACCGTTCAAGAATTTGGTCAATCTCGAGATGGCGACTTGAGACTCAACAATGTTAGTGATCACCATTGGGACAACAGCCAAGGGGAAGGACAACAAGTTGAACAACGACAAGGCTGGGAAGACAATATCGGTTGACAAGGTCTTGTCAGGGTTGTTGATGACAAACAAAGCGAAAGTGGAACAACTGACCAAGACGGGAGTCATACTCCAGGACGAAGTCGAAAGAGAGCCAAACAAACCCATACGTCTCAAGTTGCCCAATTCTTGCTCATTTCTGACAAAGCTGAGCTTTTCCATGTATGGGGCTTCCCAACCGTACAACTTAAGGGACTTGATGTTGTTCAAGATCTCACTAATCAATCTGGATCTAGCATCCTTGTACTTCATTTGGGTCTTCTGCAAGTTCTTCATAGTCTTTGCAATAACAGCGTTGAGTGGAATCATGATCACCATGATGAACACACCTGCCCACATACTGTTACCCAACAAGCCGTGCAAAGAATACAAACACAAGACGATCTGGAATGGACCAGACCAAATAATTTGCAAGTTCTGCACCAAGTCTTGCAATCTCTGGGTGTCAACAGACATCAAGTTTACGATGTCACCTGTGTTCGACTGCTGTTTCGTTTCATTTGACAACACAAGAGCCTTGTTGTAGATGACTGAAATCATGGACGATTTGATCTTCATTCCCAAATCGAAAGCACGCTGGAAGTATTGATGCAAGAAAGCGGTCTGGACCACAGAAACAAGGAACATACCGACTGCAATCATCAATCCCTTGGTGAGAGGAATTGGCTCACCGATATCCAAGGAGTCGGAGTACTGATTGACAAAGCTGATCAAAAGTCTAAGCAATTGGGGTTGGGAGAAAGCAAGAACATCTTGAAGACCCTTGAAAGCACCACCAATCAAGAAAGGCACACCGAAAGCCTTGGCCAAAGTGAAGAACAAAGATGGGTTAGGTTTAGCGTTCCAGTAGTGGTAGAATTTATCAGCAGCTGTACCTGACTTGAGCTCAGATGGCAAAAAAGGCAAGTCCTTCTCAGTCAAGAATTGGTAGAAACCCTTCTTCATCAATGGGGCCATCCAGTTGAACGCAATACGAGAGAAGACGTTAGCCTTATCGTAAGGAGCAATACTAAGTTGCTTAGCGTATGGCTGGCTGGAAAGCGGAGGGAAGTAATTCTCAAGAAGAAGCACGATGAATGCATTAATGGTGGCCAAGATCGAAATGGCGAAGAAGTTGTTCAGCTTCTCGTGTCTCAAGTTCAAGTTGATGATTCTGCCGAGGTTGAAGAACACCTGGAAAAGCCAGTAGAAAAGCAAAACGCCAGACGAAATGGTGGCCTTGAAGTGTTCAAGATAATGAAGACCGAAAGCTAGTACTAGGGATGCAATGTTCAAAAGCAAGCCAAGCTTGATGATATCGAATGGCTCCAGGTAGGAAAGAAATAGCAGTATGGAGAACGCAAATTGCAAGACCGTGAGCCCGAGTCTAGTGTAGTAAGGCAAGTTAGCCTTGTTGCCCGAGGTGATTTTTCTGTGGTACAACTGGTAAAGCTGGTGGGCACTGACCGTTACCATGAGCACACCGGCAAGAACGTACAAGATGCCTTGCAAAAAGCATGGAGTCAAGTCATTGTACCTTGAGGAGAGGGGACCCCATCCATCAGCACATCGACAAGACAGCCAGGCCGTGGGACCTGGGAAATATGGCAGGGAGTGGTTTCCATGAGATGCCACTTGATAAAGCGACAGCGCCAGAGACTTGGAATTTTCACCAAAGGACGGCAACTTGGCAAGCCCGTCCAAGACATTGGGCAAGATCGCTCCTTCTAGGTATTCCACCTGTTCCATGGTTCAAATTTGCTAGAGCCTGGAAACAAAGTAGATAAGTGGTGTTGCGGCCTTTTGAAGTTGTGCAACCTTTTTTGCCTTAGTAATCTCGCTATCTGCGCATCGTTGCAGCACTGCACTACCAGCGCTTCGAACGGCTCACTATTCCGATATATCACGAGCGATTTGATGTAGAGAGAAAAAATAAATAGAGAACACAATCTTGGGTTTAATTGAAACGTAAGCTGTTTGTTAGTGGTGTATTGGTGGTTCGTACCTATAATACCATTGGGGTTGGGAATAAAAAAGTTACAATTTTGATGGCAATTACTAGAAAAGCCTTATTAAACGGCCGCAAAATCCCCGACAGACGTCAAAGCCGTTCCTCCGAGTACGGCCATCAAGGTCTTCAGGGTCTTGGCTTATTTGAACAACCTCTTCAATCTGGACGGCTTTTTCTCTTTAGCGCGGTTTTCTCCGCTTAGATCCGTACTGTACTGATTAGTCCGTTTCTGATAGTGCAGCGGCGTGTTAGCTCCAATTGTGTCTGGAGGCAATTCGGGATTGGGGCTGGAAGAGCCAAATCCGGATTGGGCCAACTGCTGTGGCGGTTGTTTTATGCTTTGAGTTGATGGTGCCGAGGGAGTACGCGACAGCGTAGAAGATGGCTGCTGGGAGGGAGGTTTTGGCACATCGAACAAATACGAGGGCGCCCGCGTCCGAGGTCTAGTCACTTCATCGTAAAGTGGGATTTCAAGCTGTTCCGGCTGCTTCACTCCATCGATGTTCTGAAGTCCGATTAAGAAATCTCTGGGCTTGAGAACGGACTCAGAACCCAAGTAGATATCCTTGTCAAGCGCCTGCGAGAGCTCGTAGACCAGCCTCATTTCTGAGTATGTTACACCACCCGCAACATAGCAGAAGATGCGCTGTTTGTTTTTATTATTCTTGGGCGTGGCACCGTGCCTTGACCCGGAAGGAGCCCAGGAGGCCTTAACTCTAGGGTTTCTGACCGAATTGGTCTTGTCCAAGCCTGAGTTGAGACCATTGCCCTTGGGCACATCCTCGGCAATTGGCTTGTCACGGAAGTAAGGAAACCAGTCCTCATCCAATTCGTACTTGGCAGCATTGTAAAGTACTCTTTTTAGACCCGGTGCGAATCTCGACGTGTTGTAGGTGCCTTCATTATTGATGGTGTGGAAGAACTGGCGCTCCACTTTCTTGTCCTTGACAGATTTCTTGACAATAGGGAAGTCAAGCTTGTGGAGGTTGTAGAAGCATCTCAGCACAAGAGACACAATCTGCGTGTTCTTGACACCAATGAATTTAGCGAGCTTGACAAAGTCAGACTCAGCGAGACCGCCTCTGTAGAGCCCGTAAATAAGAACAAGTCTCATTTTGTCGTTGACGTGCAAGTCCTCACGGGCGAGCAAGACGATCAAGTCTTCATGCAACTTTTTGTTGTGGATGCCCTCGAAAGAGGTTCCCTCTGCACAGCAGGTCTGTTCAAAATCGGCAGCAAACTCAGCCAACTTTCTGGAAGCGTTGATATCCAAAATCTCGTCGATAAGTGTCTTGTGCAAGGTGACCTGGCGACGTTCCTCATCGAAGCCATGTAAGTGGGCAACGACGTACATCAAGTCAGAAGAGGTCTTGGCCTTGCTACGATCGACCATCATCGGATTGTTTTTGATAAGGTCATTGATACGGTTGATGATCAACTCGGAGGCCTCGATGATATGCATATGACGGAGCGAGATCCAGAGGTCGTCATCTTCTGCGTCCAAGTCAGACTTCATTTCCTGCTGTTCACCCTTCTCGTTTTCCGCCTCGTACCTGTAGACGCATTCTCTCTCCAAACTTTCCACAATGTCCATGGCCATGGCTTGGTACGAGAACTCGTGCAAGAGAGGTGCGAACAAGTCCATGGAACGGTCCGTCACTAGAAGAATAGCTCTGGGCTTCTCTAGCGTGGCTTTGGGTGGATAGTCTGTGTTGGCACGGAGGTAGTCGTCTAGTTGACGCTGGACCTCGTCAGCGATAAGCTCAGGCAAACGGGCTGCCTGGTGAGTTGCCTTAGGCAGGGCATAGAAACGTATGAGTGGGTACTCCTCGGCCACAATGATGGCGTTGACAATGGCTTTGGCGGCCTTACGGATCTGCGGCAACACCATTTCACTGCAGTTGTCGTTGAAGTACACCGGCATGGAGTTGTAAGGGACATTGTTGGTGAGAAACACCTTGGACTCCAAGGGATACATGGACGCCTGGACGAAGCAGGCGGTGGAGCCGTCGCCGCCAAAGTAGCTCATGACTTCAGGGTTGCCCATAAACTTGGCGGACTGGAAGTAGCGCAAACTCTCAGTTTCCCACTGGGAAAAGGGTATAAATAACCCGTGGCCCATCTTGTATCTGCTGACCTTGACATCAGCCAAAATGCAATTGAGATTGTAAACCAGCGGATCAACCAAATAAATGGCCTGGAGAAACAGCTGGAGTTTACGAGGGGCGTCGATCTGGTCAATGGTGGTGACGATTCGAAGCAAGGCGTCCTTTGAGAATAGCCTAAGGAGCAACGCCTCTGTTTGCTTATCGAGCACCAAAGCGAAAAGACCACCTATGGAGGTGATCTCCTTGAGTCGCTGGGCAAAATAGGCCTTTTGTATGGCCAAAAGAGACAGCGGATCGTCAAGGCTCATGGGGTAGTGGGAGGTCTTTTGGTGGTTGTAGATGATAGATCCTGTCAGAGAAGGCGCCTGCAGGCCCCCACGAACGTCGGTGCAAATATAAATAGCAACCGTATGCAAGAGAAGGGTAGCGAGAGGGAGATTACATTTTTCACGATTTACGAGGCAAGGCTGCCAGACGATTGATGTTTATGGTTTTTTCGCTTTGGGAGTGCAAAAAGATGGTACCGTTTTGGTTGTTGTCGGGAGAGTAGGCTTGGGTGCGAAGGGAAAAGGCTGAGCACGGAACTTTGCGGTTGGATCAGCATGGAAAAAAATAATGAAAGTCTGTGGTCGAATTGGTCCTCAAATCCACCGATTTATCGCCAGCTCAGGCCGGGCAGGGAACAATGTCGCTGCGCATGTACAGATTAGGCATCTTCTGTTAGGAAACCCCGCTGCGGGTTGCTTTGTGTTTCGCAGCCATGGAGGTGAGACCATGGGGTGGTGGAGTTTAAGGATCTGAGATGTTCTGATTATTCCAGATTAGCGGGAGGCGGGAGTGAGGAAGATCGAGATTGAGGGGGGGCACTTGATGAGCGAGGGTTTACGATTCAAGGATTGTGGGTAAGCTAGGGCAGCTCCATCCACCTCAGGGTCCCAGGGTCCCCATTGTTAAGCGACCAAGACCACTATTTCATTCTGAGTTTTCACTACTCAAGTCACTGATCGGCTTCAGTTGCAAGGAGTGTAATTAATAAGTTGCTTTGGTGAAACTGCCGGGCAACGAATGGAGTCCTCGGACAATGGGACCATGTGGGAGGCTTGTCTCGGGCAGTGACCCAGTAATTACTCCGCTTATCAGCCTCAATTGATCTAGTAGTTCCTGACTCCAATAGTCTCCTTGTCACTTCAGATCAACTCCCCTAGCTCCTATGTCGATGTAAGAGACCACCCACGTAAATCGTATGGCACCCTCTCTCTGGAGATGCAACAGGCTGCATCACTGTGCATCAGTCCGCAGCAAGCACAGAAGACATGGTGTTTCCATTTTTCACCGTGAAGATGGCGGTCCTTCGAGACCCTTGAAATGACACAAAACCCGCCTCGTGTGGATTTAAGCCCTCCTACAGCTCTATGTGCTCCTCGCAATCTAAACGAGGCACTCTCTCGTGGTGCACCGCTGTACTACCCATTTTGCAGCCAAACCACGTTCATTTTCAATCCAAACTCAAAATTCACATTTCACAAGTCCGAAGTACCAAAACGCTGTTTATCTGTGCTTCTAACCATCACTGACCTCTGTAGACTCCGATTGGTCCGCAGCTCGGTCCGACCAAACGGCTGCCCACTTTGCAGCCATGCATCCTCGGATACCGCACCCAACCACACACTAACTTCTGACTCCCAATAATGGCAATACTTTCAATTTCGCCTTTCTGACTTCTCTGCAACCCTCCAATCACATTGTTACGTGAACGTGAAAACTATACGAGGAGACTACCCGCACCGTTCACAACAAAGGCCAAGAGTCGCTAAGCACCGATCCTGACATATGCCAGCATCTGGCCCACGGCGGGGCTGATAGTAGGGAAATAACTTTTATTCGCCATTCTCTAAACCTAGTCGATTTCTTCACCGAACATTCCTTGGAGACACCGGGGGCCTTCTTGATATCACGTGTCCACCTCACCGTTGTAGGCACCTCGACATTTACCTAATCCGGGCGGCTCAATCTGATAAATCTCGCGTATACCAGCACTATTCTACAGCTTCCAGGGACCTGATCCCACTCCATCTATTCATATCCTTTCATTATGGCCGACCGACGCCTCCTGGTCTCGGACTCCCAGAGCCCCACCTTGCTATATATTGCAGGATGGTACTTCTTCTCCATGCTGATTCTGGTCTATAACAAGTGGATGTTTGGCAGCGGGCTTGATTTCAAGTTCCCTCTTTTCGTCACGGCCTTCCACCAGCTGTGTCTATTTTGCTTGTCTGCTTTGGTGCTTTATTTCCGTCCCATGCTTCGTCCAACCGTCAACGCCAGCACACAAGGCTTCTGGAACACTTTGGCCATATCGCCAGGTCACTATGCCCGCCAGATTCTCCCCTGCGGTTTTGCCTCAGCAGGCGACATTGGGTTGAGTAACTTGTCCATCAGCTTCATCTCCTTGTCGCTATATACGATGCTCAAGACATCGAGTCTTATATTCGTTTTGATCTTTGGTCTAATATTTCGGTTGGAGCGCTTCAATTGGCGCTTGATCATTATTGTTGTCGTGATGACAGGGTCTGTCATGATGATGACCCAAAAGCCGGATTCTGCAGAGTCTGACGCCTTGGACGATGATCATGACCCAGTGGGCATTGTGCTTGTGATGGCAGCCTCTGCCATTTCTGGCTTGCGTTGGTCTTTCACGCAATTGCTACTCAAGAAGAACGACTACACGAAACACCCTATTCTGACAATCTTTTACATTTCACCGTCGATGATTGTGATTCTATTTATTGCCGCCATTTTTGTGGAGCGCTGGTCCTCATTTGTGTCTCTGCCAATCTGGGCCATTCACGGTGTTCTTGGAGTACTTGGGTTGATGGTGGTTCCTGGCTTCTTGGCGTTCATGATGACGCTATGTGAGTTCAAGCTCTTGTCTGTCGCCCAGGTGCTCACCTTGTCTATTGCAGGTATCTTCAAGGAGCTACTCACAATCATGCTTGGCCTGATTCTATTTGGAGACCGGTTAAGCGCAATCAACTGCGTTGGTTTGGTGATAACATTTTTCGATATACTATGGTACAATTATTATAGATACCAAGAGACAGAGGCTTCGGCCAAAGAGAACGGGAACGGGTACACGTCCATTCCAGCCTCAACCCCCGAGGAGCTTGGTCTTCAGTCCGGCAGCGAAGCGATTGAGCTCAAGCAGCATTGATATAGGCATTCATCAGATAATTAACCCCCCTAAAAAGCCAAAGATTAAAATCGTAGAGTAGATAAGTATCTTTTCGTTGTTTCCGTGCTCCCAGTGTACTATGCCTGGGCCTGCAGCAGCAGTGGATGACAACGAGTCTGACGATATGTGTGTGGTTGGACCCACGGTTGATGAAGGTTCCCTTGTCACGATGACCTCACCAGAGATGATAGATGCTTGTGAGTATCGCGTCAAAATGGCCTCTGCGGCTGTGGAGTTTGCTGAGCCGAATGTCATTGTATCTGTTTGGGTGGTATTGACTTTCGTAGCCCATGGTATGCTGCCTGACTTGATGAATGATGCAGAAGGATTAAGAGAAGGCAGGCTTGAAGAAGCGGATGACCCTGACAGGTAGTCAGAGGTGGATGTTTTGATGTCTGTGTAAAGATCAGTGCCAACCTCGTGGTCTGTGTTCTTGTTAGCGAGGGCGATGTTGCCTCCGTCGTTGTCCATCACGAAGTAAGCGTTCGTCAAGAATGGAAGACCCAAGCAACTGTAGCCGAGGTATGACGAAGGGCTCACATTGAGTAGACACGCCTTTGAGCCGCTTGAGAACCTTAAACCGGTATCGTTCAGATTACCGTAAAGGAACGACGACAAAGGCGCCTTGATGGTCAAAGGACCGAAATTGTAATGGAATTCTGCGTTGGAATCCTCGACATCGGAGCACTTGACGATCCACTCGCCCCGCTCATTGTTATAAAATGCATTTGCTTGGAGGGCTAATCTGATGATGACGTCCAACGGAAGAAAGTTGAAAGACAAGCGAGGGTCGAGGAGCACTGGCTCAGATTTGCCCGAAAGAAGCGACACTGACTGAGAAGTGTTGGAGTTGACCACTTTAAGGTCAGTCAAGAGGACTGTGGGGAGAGTCGAACCAGAGTCCAAGCCCTCGTAGGGCAACACGGGGAACGAAACTAGATCACCCGTAAACATGGAGCGGTCGACACCACCAAGCAAAAGCTCACCGTAGGCGTCGTCGTCCACGTTGTCATGCAGAAGGAAAGCAGAGTAACCGCGGCTCTCGATCAAGTTGGCGTTGTAGAGGTAGTTCAAGATGCCGGTTCCTCTGGGGTTGTTGGCCAAGCCGAAGCCGCCAGCCATCATATTCGTGTCGTTAACGTAAATAAAGTTGAACAGATCCAACGGATAGACCACCTCCTGGGAGTCCACGAAGTAGAGGTCTGCCATAGCCACCTCGCCATCGGCAGCGATGCCGTTTGGGTACGGTATGGAGACGTAGTTCTCCAGGCGATCCACCACATCCACGGTGGCCGTGGCGGTGCCTTGTGAGTCGGTGAACGTAGTGGTGTAATCCTCGTACAAGACGCCGTATCGGGAGGTAACGTCTGAGTTACACGACAAGGTCGCCGTTGTGTTTGAGCTGTTACTGCGGTTACAGTACAGCTGGTAGTTTGGGTCGGGGATCCACAAGTCTGGTTGCAACAAGTCGAGTCTCACCGCCACATCGCTGACATAGGCATTGTAGAACTTGTCTCCACTTAGGGCAGCTAGCGGAACGGTGATGACGGGGTCGCCTCTTGCAGAGGACGTTGTTGTGGCGGATCCTGACGCCGACGTCGTTGTTCCCACGACGATCTGAAGGCAGAGCAGAAGAGCCCCCAAGAAAAGCATGTTGGTGGGATGACGATGTTTTGGCAGGAAAACGGTGAGAAGATATACACACGGTGAGAATCTATACAGCGGTCCGAGCAGCGCGGCTCAGCTAAGAAAACGACCACGACTAACCCCATTGTACACTGCCGACGGGTATTGGAGGGTAACAGGGAACGACGGAAGGGGCATACTAGGTTAATATGGGGGAAAGTTTATGGGGAAACTGCTTTGGTTAATTGGGGTTTGGTGGTGGCCATCGCAGCTGTCGTCATCCTACGTCTACAACTAAACTAACGCTATCTTGTTCGATTCAAAGCCCTGTTTCTCCAAGACCCGGATTTCTTGAAATTTGGATTATGGCTTATTTCGGCTGTGTTGCCCAGTGCCTGTCGAAGCTTAACCTTGTGAGGCATCGCTTAGGGTGCAGCGACCTGTCTAGGCTATATATTAAGCGAGCGAGTCTCCACATTCCCTTGGCTTTGCCAGCTGGCTGAAAAAAATTGAGAGGAGATTTTTCAGCGTTTTCAAAGAAGTTAAGCGACAGTAGCTTAATTTCACCCAATCAACACAATTTCGGCGGCGGTTCGGAGCCTGGTATCGTTCCAGATGGCCCCAAACGGTCGCACAGCCGATAATTAGGTAATGGTACACAGAGCGGAAGAGCACACGTCTGATAATTAGGTAATGGTACACAGAGGCCGCGGGGCTATTTTCAAAAAAAAAAAAAAAAAAAAAAAAAAAAAAAAGTGCTCTGGGAACAATATGCAACCAACCTTTTCGTATTGTTTGCCATTTTCTCGTGCCCCCAGGGTTGCATGCTTTTTTTAGCCTTAGCCGAGACCCGAGGCTGACGGCCCCAGCCACCCTAGCCACCAGGCTTCTTTGGCTTTTTTTCTTTTCCGTTCGCTTTTACGTCATAGGGGGGTCTCCACTCTCGGGCCCGCACTGGCCACAATCTGTACATCTATCCAATCCGCCTCTGCTTAAAATGTGTCATTTAAGTACACCTCCAAGGCCAAGCTTGATCGTCACACGAAGAGCTTCTGCATTTGCGCATGAAGCAGCGGGATCTGATCTCCGAATGAAGAAATGCCACCTGACCAGGTGTGTTGACAGGTGAGGCAAATCTCTGGGCGATCGGACCACTGGTGCGTTCACGAGATCTCGACCCTCGCCAATGCATCGATGTTTTTCAAGCCCGGTTCGAAAAATTCCGTCTCTATATTTTTCTTTTTTCTTTCAAATCTACAATCTTTCCTGACTCTCCTCATACTTCATCTTTATTTTTTTTTTGCCCGCTGGGTTTCGCTACGTCCTGTGTGCCGCCGTGTGTGCCTAAGCCCAGGATCTATTTTCACCCAGCTTGACGATATACCGAACCCTCATCCCTGTTTTCTCCAACGAACTACACCTAATACCTCAACTCAACGAATCCATCCATACACCCAGCCTGCGCTCCGCTCCTGCTTCATATTAATACTGGCATCTCGGCTTTTCTTCCTGCCCCCACTTTTCATCCCTGGTTGATGGCCTGATAAACATGAAGCGAGACGGTAAACGGAGAAGACTCAAGATCGGGATCAGACCCCAGCTCATTATTCTTGTGGGTTTCTCGTCGCTTTTCTCCCTTCTCATCCTTGCCTTGGTCGCCGGTGTCTATTTCCTGAGTAATTTGGCGTCTTTGCGTGCTGAGAGGTTGGAGGTTATCGCCCAGATCAAAAACACCCAAGTCCAGCAGTCCATCCAATATCTATTTTACCAGACATACTGGCTATCCACAAAGGATGGAGTCAGCGAGCCCTTGCTGAACTACAGAGCGGGAAATAACTCGAGGGACATCTTTAGTGATGCCCAGGTCGCTCTAGATCTGTTTTTATCTTCGTCGGAGATGTTCGCCCTGGCGGCTTTGTACGACTTGGACTCCAACATCGTGGCGGAATCTCGAAATAATAACACAAACGTCTCGTCGGCTCTCGATTCCGTGCTCTATGCCTTGGCGGAAAACACAAGTATCCCCTCAGCTGTCATGGACAACAGAAACCAAGCATCCGACACAAACCCTCCCATTACAAATGCATACTTCACCGGCCCTCTACCGAATGACACATCCGCAAATGCCACCTACTTCATAGGGATAACGCTACCGGTGTACTCCAATTCGTCCATTATCCTAGAATCCGCAGCTGTGGCTGGTTACCTCACTGTCATTGCAAACGCCGATATGATCAAGTCATCCCTACTGTACTATACACTGCTGGGTGATAACAAATACTCAGTCTCCTTGATCAAGGCCTACTACCAGAACGAAACGGTTGCCGGTATCGGACGACATGCGATCGGTTTCGAGCTACTATTTCCGGTCGAAGGTCAAACTTCCATGGAAGCTAATCGATTTTACCCGATAGACTCATCAGATGCTGTAAAAGAAGCAATCGTTAATCAGCAGGGCGTCGTTCAAAATGCAAAGTCGCTAGATAACAGTCGTGTTGCAGCGGGATACGCTACCATGAACGTCGACGCCCACAATTACTGGACTGTGATGATAGAGCAACGAAGATCTACTTTCCAGAGCCCCATGAAAAAGCTTCAGAACATTATGATTGGTGTCGTCATTGGCATTGGTGTATTCATGTGCCTAATAACATTCCCACTAGCTGTTTGGTTCGTGGCACCCATCACTCGCCTTAAAAATGCTACGGAAGCCATCACAAGATCAAGAAAAGGCAAGAAAGGTGGCGGTGGTAGCACAGGTGGCTACGGCAATAATCCGTACGGTGATGGTTCAAGTGCACACCATGACGATGGTGCACCTATCGACCCTTCGCCTGATCCAGAAGGTGACATAGAAAAAGCCCAAATCTCGAAGAGGAACTCGGTCAATTCCGTGACATCCGGATCCACTGCATTCTCCACTGGCATTCGTCTTCCTGATCGCATACCTCCATCCAAGAAGCTCTTCAAAGATGAGTTGACAGAATTGTCTGACGCATTCAATATCATGACTGAGGAACTCGAGAAGCAGTACTCGCATCTCGAAGACCGTGTGAAGATGAGAACTAAGGAGCTTGAGGCCTCGAAGATCGAAGCTGAAGCCGCAAACGAGTCCAAAACAATTTTCATCGCTAACATTTCGCATGAGCTCAGAACTCCTCTTAATGGTATTTTGGGTATGACCTCCATTGCCATGGATGACAATGATCCCCTGCTGATTCACGACTCCCTCAAATTAATTCACAGATCCGGTGAACTCCTTTTGCATATCTTGACAGAACTCTTGACGTATTCCAAGAATACGTTGAACCGTTCGAAGCTTGAAAAATCCAACTTCCAGGTTTTGGAAATCCTTTATCAAATCAAATCCATTTTCGGTAAGCTAGCACTCGACCAGCGTGTGAACTTGAACATTAGCTTGCGTCCAAACATATTGAGAAAGCTCATTCTTTATGGAGACTCCAATAGAATCATTCAAGTGGTGATGAATCTTGTGTCGAACAGTTTGAAGTTTACACCTGTTGACGGCTCAGTTGATGTCACATTTAAACTTTTAGGAGAGTATGATCACGAGCGCTCTCAAGCTGTTGATTATGAGAGAGTCTACGTGAAGAAAGATGAATTCTTGCTGACTACAGGTGAGATGCCACCACTTACGAAGCATCTGTCAACAACTGCAAGTCAGCGTCGTACATCTCAGACCAGCGCCAACGGTTTCTTTTCGCTTAAGAAGAAAGAGTCGGAAACGAAGCCTGTGCAAACTAAGCCCAAGGATGATGACGACGCCCAGAGTATCGTCACCCTCTCCACTGCAGAGTACGAAAATGCTATTTTCAACTCACAGTTTAATAACAACAAGTCATTACCGGACACGCCTCGAACAAGGCCACTGGTGTCACCTGCTACATCAGTTAACAGCAGCTCTGGTGAACAACAAAACGGAGTGAAAACTCCCATTGAAACGATGGAAAAATCTTCGCCACTTCAAGAAAGCACCTCCCTGGCTTCGCTCAAGTCTCTCAAATCTAGCGGTATTCATGAAGCAGAGGTTGAGAAGTCTGCGTCGACGGAAGACACAACTCGAAAGGACAATTCATCGACCGTTGAGCAATTCCCATCTAATGGCCCTCAGCACACTGTGACTCAATCAATGGATGGCAAGTTGGAAAAACACGCTAGTAATCGTGACCTGAACCGCATGTCTGTCACTGGCTTCATATCTAACAGTGAGCTTGTGAAGAACGAGAAAATCTACAAGATGAGAAAGCTTTACGTCCCACGTTCGTGGGTTCTTCAGATTGAAGTGAGAGATACTGGATCTGGTATCGAACCAGCCTTGCAAGAAAAGGTGTTTGAGCCATTTATTCAGGGTGACCAAACTCTTTCGAGAAGTTATGGTGGTACAGGTCTCGGTTTGTCCATTTGTCGTCAATTGGCAAAGATGATGAAGGGTACTTTGACTTTGAAATCTACGATTGGACAAGGATCTACCTTCACTTTCACGGTACCACTTCCTCAGAATGGTGAAATTGTGGTTCCAGAGGAGGAGATGGAAGAGTTTAGCAATGACGTCTTCAACCCAGACTCAAAGGTGAACAAGAAGGTTGCTTTTGATGTTGTCGAAACACCAAGTGAGCGTAAGGACGTTGCTAGTACGCCAGAGATTACGGAAACATCTCCAAGCAAGGCCACATTATCACCTAGCGGAAATGGATCTACAATTAGTCCCGCTTCTCCTCTGAAGCGCAGCTTACATATTAGCCTTCCTCAGAGACACAACAGCCATCTCTCCTCAACAGGAACAGCTGAGCACAGCAGGAGCAAGACTAGTATTCTTGATGATTTGACTCACCTCCGAATCTTGGTTGCCGAGGACAATTCAGTCAATCAGGAGGTCATTAGAAGAATGCTTCGCCTTGAAGGTTTCGAGAACATCACCATGGCCAGCAATGGTGTTGAGGCAGTGGATTGTATCAAGAACTCTTACGACACAGGCGAGTTTTTCAACATTGTTTTTATGGATGTGCAGATGCCCAAGATGGACGGTTTAACAGCCACCAAGCTTATCAGGAACAACCTCAAGTTCCGCAAACCAATTATCGCTCTTACTGCATTTGCAGATGAGAGTAACGTGAAGGAGTGTTTGAGCTCCGGCATGTCTGGCTTCCTTTCCAAGCCTATCAAGAGAACTAATTTACGTCAAATCATAACAGAGTTCAGCACTGAGGTGTTGAGCGAGATTGTGACTACACCTGTGACGTACAATGACGACGACGACCGAAGACTTGCGCTTTAGTCTTGAAAATTTATGACCCAAACTTTACTTTTAACGAGACGTCTCGTTTCAAAATTTCTACCCATGCATTACTATACTTAGTTTTAATAGAGATCCAGGTTTTTTTTCGCAGCCAACGTAGACTGACGTCATGCAGGTAAACAGTCAGCAAGCCACTCTGAGGTTTTTTCGATTGCAGCAGTACCTGGAGCCACCCAGGTGTGGTGCCGTTCACTGGCTTATATGCCGTATTTTGGACATTTCTCTGCGCGAGGCTTCAAAATTAAAGATTAATACGAGTTTCACATCTTCTTCATTTCATATATTCACTTCACAAACCTGTTTTATTATTTCCACTAAATTCCATGTCTTCGGAGACTTTTGAAAAGGAGTATCACATCTCCGAGAAGTCACCATACCATGGTGAGCATTTCAAGCTGAGGAAAGAAAGAACCCTTCGAACACTAGCTTTCATACTACTGCTAATAGCCGCTATTATCTGGGGTTCCGGGTTCTTGATTAATGCCGTTGACAATTTTTCGGCCCATAACAGCGTCACCTTTAATGAGCTGAAAACTCCACATTTCTTCGAGTCACCGCCTCTTCTCACCAAAGGGAACTCCCACGGCCAGTCTGGCAAAATCCCACTTACTTTGGAGCACATCAGAGAGGGCAAATTCCGTCCACAGTTTAAAAACCTACAGTGGATTCTGGCTCCGGAGTCTGCCACCCACGACCAGGGTACCTACTTGCTCGAGGACAAGCAAGGAGATAACACTACCTATGTTGTGAAGAGCATCTTGGATTCAGACTTCCATTATGTTCTTCATGAGGGCAGCTCTTTCACTTACAACGGTGAGACGTATGACATCGATGCATTGGTGGCTTCTCCAGACCTCACTAGAGCAGTTCTCAAAACCGAGACGGTTAAAAGCTGGAGACACTCATCTTTTGCTATTTACTGGGTGCTTGATGTCAAGACCCAGACCATTGCTCCGTTGTTCAACACGGAAGACAGGGTAGCTGTCACCTCTTGGGCGCCTACTTCCGACAAAATTGCATTCATTTATGAGAACAATGTCTTTATCAAGGACCTCATCCAAGGTGACATCATACAAGTTACTTACGACGGAGGTGAACAGACCTTCTACGGAAAGCCTGACTGGGTCTACGAAGAAGAAGTGTTCGCATCAGACATCGTCTTGTGGTGGTCCCCTCAAGGTGATAAGTTGGGCTTCTTGAAGTTCAATGACAGCGAAGTTCCTGACTTCCCCATTCCTTACTATGTTCAAGATGGGTTTGAGGAATATCCAGAGCTTGTCAACATCAAGTACCCCAAGCCGGGCTACCCTAATCCAAAGGTTGATTTGGTTCTCTACAACCTTGAAGCTCGCGCCGAATCTGAGCCTGAAAAGGCAAGAGTTGCTCAACTTAATACTTCATTTGACGACAAACTCATAACTGAGGTCTTGTGGGTGTCTGACGACTACCTTTTGGTCAAAACCAGCAACAGAGCGAGTGATGAATTGGAGGTGTTTTTGGTGAACACTGACGATTCTAAGGGAGAGCTTGTTAGAAAGCATCATGCTAAGGACTCTTGGTTCGAAGTCACTTCAAATGCCATCTATGTTCCGCGCAATGAGTCTGCCGGTATTAAGCATGATGGTTATATTGATCTCATTGTGCATGAAGGCTACAATCACTTGGCCTACTTCTCTCCACCAGAATCTTCCGAAGGCAAGCTACTTACAAGCGGACAATGGGAGGTGTTAACTAATGTTTTCGATTTCCTGAATAACGAGATTTATTTCCTGGCCACCAAGAAGTCCTCTGTTGAAAGACATATCTATTCTGTGAGCCTCACCGATGCCATCCATTCGCAAAAACAACCAAGCATCAAGAATGTCACTGATGTCAGTGCCGAGGGCTGGTTTGGTGCCTCCTTTTCATCTGGCGCCAGATTTGCCTTAGTCTCCAACCAGGGTCCATCCGTTCCTTATCAAAACTTAATTGACCTTCACTCCAAAGAGATAGTACAAGAGATTGAAAACAATCACGAAATCTCGGTTACTCTCGAGGAATATGACGTTCCACAAACAACGTATTTCCTGGTTAACTTGGGAATTGACGAGGTCACCGGTGGGGAAATTTTGGCCAATGCAAAGGAAACAAAACCACGCCAGTTCGATCCTTCCAAGAAGTATCCAGTGTTGTTCTTTGTTTACGGTGGGCCAGGTTCTCAGACTGTGACTAAGACCTTCGACGTCGGCTTCAGCGAAGCTATTGCTTCTGAACTTGATGCAGTTGTAGTGACTGTCGATGGAAGAGGTACTGGCTACAACACCAACGACTCCAAATTGGGCTCTAGATTCAAATTCATCGTACGTGATAGATTGGGTCATTACGAGCCAATTGATCAGATTGCTGCAGCATCGATTTGGGCAAAGAAGCCATACGTCGATTCCAGCAGAATTGCCATCTGGGGCTGGTCCTACGGAGGCTTCTTGACCTTGAAGACGTTGGAGACGGACAATGTTGATCATGTCTTCTCTTACGGTGTCTCAGTCGCTCCCGTGACAAAGTGGAGACTATACGACTCTATCTACACGGAGAGATACTTGAGAACCCCACAAGAGAACCCTAGCGGTTATGAAAGCGCTAGCATCTACAACATGACCAACTTCAAAGATGTGAAGCGCTTCTTAGTGATGCATGGCTCCGGAGATGATAATGTCCATTTTCAAAACAGTCTTAGTCTCATCGACGACTTCAACCTCGCTGGCGTGGAGAATTTCGACTTCATGGTGTTCCCTGACTCGGACCACCTGATCCGTTACCACAATGGTAATAACGTCGTATTTGACCGCATCAAGAGCTGGATCGGACGGGCATTTGCTGGCGAATTTGCATAATCTCTAGAAAACAAGGCGAGGCTGGCTGCGAAAAAGGTGCGTCTGCCTGTGTCTTAAGGGCATCTCGCGTGCATTTAAGCTACGCTTTACCACTGACTAGTTGCCGCTTAATCAACCTAATCACTCAATAAAGACACAATTCGGCCGTAGAATTGGGCTATTGTAATGTTGCTTCCTCGGATTTGACCGAATCTCAGTCCGTAGCGTATGCCCATCGCTGCCGGGTAACCCTCCCATCTCACGTGGCCGCGCCTATACAGAAAATTTTCCACGAGTATATAACTACCGCATTTCCAGTTTTAAAGCTGCATCTACAAAACCGACCCTAATAAAATGTTGATCTACACTGACATTGTCTCTAACGACGAGTTGTTGTCCGACGCTTACGACATCAAGGAAGTTGACGGTGTCGTTTTGGAGGCCGACTGTTCCATGATCAAGATCAAGAACGGTGGTGATGTCGACATTGGTGCCAACCCTTCCGCTGAGGACGGTGCTGATGACCTCGAGGAGGGTGTTGAGACCGTCAACAACGTTGTCCACTCCTTCAGATTGCAGCAGACCTCTTTCGACAAGAAGTCTTTCTTGACCTACATCAAGGGTTACATGAAGCAGGTCAAGGCTCACTTGTCCGAGAACGCTCCAGACCAGGTTGAGGTTTTCGAGAAGGGTGCCCAGGCTTACGTCAAGGAGATCATTGGCTCTTTCAACGACTGGGAGTTCTTCACTGGTGAGTCTATGGACCCAGACGCCATGATTGTCTTGTTGAACTACCGTGAGGACGGTACCACTCCTTTCGTCGCTGTGTGGAAGCACGGTGTCAAGGAGACCAAGATCTAAGCGTATTTGTTTCTTTGGTTGTTTAATTAGCAAATATATTAATCGGTGGAACCGTTTACTTTTTTGTAATGCAGATGCACGAATTCTCCAACGTGATGGCCTTGTCTGTGTACGTGAAGAGCTCCACGTTGTAACCAGGCATGGCCTTTTGAGCGGCGTAGACCCTGCTCTCGTCTATCATTCTCCTTGCAGCGAGTCCTAGGCTTTCCCGTTCGCTAGCCAGTAGCGTACTATCGTCGTTAGGACCATCATCTCGTTTTCCACAGACTGCCCAGGTGACAATTCTTCTGAGAGTGATGAAATCCTGCTCGTTATTGATCCCATTTTCTTTGAGGTAGCTTCTTGAGTCGGGGAGTAACTGGTTGTAGTGGCATATATGACGGCAGCACATAGCCACTAACAAGCCATGAAAGTTGCCGTTGTGTAGAAGCGATGAATGCAAGAGCAGCTTGAGTGTTAGGTCTGTAGCTACACCACAGAGATGCTTGGATATGCAAACGACATCTTGTGGTTTTTCGCTTTCAAGGAAATTGTCAAGATGGAGATGCTCAATGTCTATTCTAGATCTCTTAATCTTTGGCATCTGCTCGATCTTCATTTCCTCACAGTCCTTGATGATCTTGCTGTCCATCTTCATACGGTTGGTGCCTCTGTCTATGAGCCCAAAACCATAGCTCTCTTGGAGCTCTTTGGAATCATGGATGTTGCATGCATTGACTGCCCTGGACAATTCGGCCTTGCCGCAACCAAATTCCATGTAAAAAGCCGAAGTAGAAAGAAGTCCATTCTCCTTCATGTTTCCCACCAAAGACAGCTGCTGGATTATATGCTTCTGATTCTCCTTCCCATCGAGCCAAGAGTCTAAGCCAGGATGAGAACTGCTCTTATGACGAAGAGGACTGTGTCTTTGTTGATAAGCTTTGATGATGGGAATGACCTTCTGGAAATCCTCGGGACCAGGCAGTTTGACGTCGCTTTTCTCCACCTCCTCGTCTCCATACTTGGTGTTATAGTTCTTCACGTACCAAGGGTCGTGCTTCTCCTTGGGTTTGGCGTTGCATTTCTTCAAATGAAACTCCAAGTCGTGAAGCCATACGGTATGCTTCGGATCTAGCGGACAAGGAACTCTCTCACCCTTAACCTCAGAAGCTGGAGTGGAATCATCATGCACCATATGCTCCGAGCAGAACTTGTGGCCCTTCTTGCGCTGCATGGCACACTGGCGGTTCTTTTGCTCCAAGAAGTATTCACATCTGTTGGGTGACACTTTCTTCTCCTTCTTGGCTCTTTTCTGTCTCTTGGGCGTCTGCCCTGTGGCCACCTCAGTTGAGCTCATGTAGTTGAAGTTCGCAGTATTATCTGGAGAAGCCCGCCAGAGTGAAAAGTTGGTTACCAGGATGAAAGTTACGATGAAATCAAAGATCTTCGCGTTTGTTAAGAAAAGTTAAGTAATTTGAAAGAACGAAAGAAAATACCCCTTCAAAATACTTTGAAGGTCTACTCCAGGATTATTGTGGACTAGGGTGGGTGCGAAAATAGTCGATGCTCATCTCGCATCTCTCGGTACTACCATGAAGCAGAACAAAAACGAGCTATGGAAGCTCGATCTCATAGAAACCAAGTTTTTCAAAACTACTCCGAGATTGCAATCAACCAAAAAGCTCTTGAATGCCCGGAAAAACGCTAAGCTTTTGAAGAAGCTACCCCAGACGAGAGAAGAGGCACATAAACAGATCCATGCTCTCAAGAAAGACTTGTTCGAGAAGAAGTTCCACGGATCGTTTCTCAAACTTCATCGTGAGGTTCTCAAGAAGATGAAAACTGATCTGCGTGCTTGGAAGAATGACACCCACGAGTCTCTTCGGAACTTACTCAATTCTGCCTTGACTGTGAACTACATGGTGGAAGCTAAGCTTGTCAAGATATTCATTGCCGCTGTACTCAACACCAAAGAATTGAAAAGCTCGCCACCTAGTTATCTTCCCGAAGATATTAAAGACAAAATCCTCAACAAGAAGAATCCCTCCAATCCTAGTCGATTCTTCATTGACCACTGCCAAGACGACAAGATTGCCAACGGCTACATCTCCAAGCTTTGGAACGCCAAAGATATGAAGAAGCTCATAGAGGAGATTGACTGGTCGTTCAGGAAGGTCAGAGGTGATTTGACTGTGGATGAAAAGAACACTAGATCTGCCTCTACAGGTAAGAAGGCGGGCAAGGACGATAGCGATGATGATGATGACAGTGACAGTGAAAGCGAAAGTGACAGTGACAGTGATTCTGAAAGTGAGGAGGAAAGCGATGCCGCTAGTGAAGAGGAAGATGTCGCTGCCAGTGGCTCAGATGAAGAAATGGATGCTGAGGAAGCTTTCGAAAAGTATGCTGCCTACGACAACTTAGTTGCTGGTTCTGATGGAGAAGGCGACTTTGAGGCTGACCCCAATGTGGATTACAACGAAATCACAGACGAGGAGCCCTCCGAGGAAAGTGAGGACGAGTTGGATGAGAAAGCCCAGAAGAAGAAGTTAAAGGAATTGAAGAAGAAGGAGAAAGCGGAAAAGAAGGAGCAAGAAAAGAAACACAAACTTCCTTCATTGGCCACTGGCTACTACTCGGGAGGTTCCGATGATGAAGACGATGTGGATAACGATAAGGTTGTGAAGGAAGCAACCACCACGAGGAAGAACAGAAGAGGTCAGAGGGCCAGACAGAAGATTTGGGAGCAGAAGTACGGTAAGAAGGCCAATCACGTTCAGAAGGAGAAGCAAAGGCTTCTTAATGAGAGAGAACAGAGACAACAGGAATTCGAGGAGAGACAAAGAAAGAGAGACATGAAAGCCCGTCTCGCTAGAGAACAAGAGGAGGCCAACAAATTGGCGCCTAAGCTGGAAAAGAAGCCTCCGTCTACTGCAAGCCAGAAGATGCATCCTTCTTGGGAGGCCAAGAAGATTGCTGACGAAAAGATGAAGGCGGTCAAGTTTACGGGTAAGAAAATCACATTCGATTGATTTATTTTCAGAGCTCAGATGGGTCGAGCTTGAATTCTCTTGCAATATCCTCCTCGCTCATTGCTTCACAAACAATAGGAGTTTCCAACAAGAATCTGTACTGGCATTTCTCCGGTTCGCTGACAGAAACAATCCTGCTGTCGGCAGCGCATATCATATCCACATAGGCTGATCTATGTGGACCATTCCAGCATTTGACTCCGTGCTCAAAATGCAACGTTGAGCCTGTGACACCGGTCAAACGCCCAACAAGTGTATTATCTTGGTAAATGGAGTCTAGATATCCAATCTTGTAGTTGTATTCGCCAATCCTGCGATTGACCCATTCTTTTTCGACAGCTCTGAGAATGTCATCCTTGCCGAAAACTTTGGTCACATTGTCTTCGTAGATGGAGGCTTCTGACTTTTTGGAGTGCAATTCCTTCTCCAACTTTTCGATGGACTTCTCGATGCTGGTGATCTCTTTATTGCTGACGGGGGAACTAGACTTCTCCTCCTTTTGCTCGTGCTCCTCGGTCTTTGGCTTGAATGTGTTGACGAATTTCGTGAAATAGTGATGCAACATGTTGTCGAACGTGGGTTCGATGGAAATGTAATCTTGCGGATTCAAGCTAGGTGGTTTGAGGCTCTTCAACTTCTCAGTAAACAGCTCTATTGAGAACGAGGACTTCTCCGGTTCTTCCTCCTTACCAGTGATGTATTCTCTGAACTGGTTGACGCACTGCTTCACACTGGCATCGTTGTAGTTGGGGTTGTAGTTTTCCACTAAGTCATTCAAGAGACCCTCAAGTTTGCTAATAGTTGACTTGCTTCTTTTTTCGGAAGCAATTGAGTCTTTGATGTAGCTCTGGAGCTGCGTGGTCAACTCTGAGATTTGCTTCACCGTACCTTCATCCTCTGAGCCTTGTTCAGCACGTTTTTTTGCATCCGCGAGTCTCTTCTTCTCCTTTTCAAGCTGACTTTCAAGAATGGCTATTTCTTCTTGGATCTGCTCCAATTGCTGGACGACAGCAGCCTTGGCACGCTCAGCCTTTCTAACATACTGTTCACGAATTCTCAATGCCTTGTCGATGTCAGTCTTCCGTGTTTGAACAAAATTATCAAACTTTTGCTTCACTTCAGCACACCTGTTAGGGCACTTACCACTGGCCCATTCGTCGGAACCGTCGCAACAGATTTCGTAATCGCAGACGCCGTCATTGACCTTGAAGTTCTCAATGTAACCTGGGAAGAATCCCTCATTGGCACAGTAGAAACCTTGTTTTCTCAAATGGGAGCATGCAGCAGTGCCTGGCTCGTCTGATCCATCGGGACAGTCACAGATATCGTCGTTGATCTGACTATGGTCAAGCACTATAGATGGGTCCAGGAGACATGCCCATTTTCCATTGTCCGCCTTATATAGATGCTGGTCTTCAGGTTTCACTCCTATGATATCCAGGGATGCCACCAAACCGGCCAATGCGGCCCACTTTAATATGATCATGATGAGGAGTTGGCTGAGATCTAGGTGTACCTCATTCGCGCTATGTATCTAACTGGATCAACACCTTCTGTCAATACACATATATGTAATGATATAAAATGGGCAAACGGCAGCCTGCAAATGATACACTAAGCATACTACGATGCAAACGGATGATCCGACCGCTTATCTCCAAGATCGCTGCCCTTACAGACATTTACATCAAGTACCCATCCAAATTTGATCTCGATATTGAAAGCTTCGATATTGTGCAGAGAAACCATGGCAAGTCACTCACTTTCATCAGTCCAGCAACCTCCGATGATCGACTCTTATCGTTGAAGCCTTATCTAAGCCCTGAATTGCACCAGGCGTACAAGGAAATCTTTGTTATTTTCAAGAACATCATACTCGCATGGCTGCAAACCTCACTGAATAGCAGAATTCCCAAATTATCCAGCCTAGCATCATACAAATTAGGCAAATGCATCACATTAGGTACAAAGAGCTCTCATTATAGACTAAGTCAAACCGCTTTGTTTGATGCTGATACGTTACCAAAGTACCTACAGAAGTACCATGATGAACTCTCAGACGACATAGACGATTGGCTCACTATGGAGCCGGAATCCGTGACGGAGGCTCATCGTACGGACTTGCTCTACGGCTATCTAATACATTTGTTGGTCTTCAATCTGCGGACAATCTTCTACTGCCTTTTGCCAGTTTTGGTACATTGGCTACAAGAGCAAAAACTATACTCTCTCCTGAGAACCCTTCTCTACGAGTTCTTTCTATTCCTGTCAGTGGATATCGATCAGCGAGAGGTATCTGAGTTGACAACTGAAGTGGCTCAGCACGATCCGAGCCTTCCTGTTTTTTGGCTCTTCCACAACATCGGCTATTGGAGACGATTGTGTGAGCTTTGCAAGCTCACCACCATGGATGCCAGCAACAAACGCTTCCAATCATATGATAGCATATTTATTGAGATTCTTGCCAAGACAGACCGGCTTTTTCTTACTGATGGGATCGACTTACAGCATATCTATGATAAACTTCAACTGAATCCCCAACACCCGCATAACACTTTCATCTTGACTTCCATTCTAGCACAGATCATCAGTTTGTTCAAGAAAAGCTTAGACTCAGCGTCCACGTCATCTGGATCACTAATGGTATTCCGAGCCTCACTCAATGACTTCACTGAGTTCCTACGAACCTGGCTTTCCTTGAGTGGAGACTGTGTCTTCAATTCGTTTGACGGTGGAAATGAGGATATGTTTGACGCTATAAATAATACCGTCGATTACATGTTGAAGCATTGCGTTAGGGCTGTTCGTTATCTCGAGGGCGTGTCGCTGAAGAGCCGAAGCGTTGAATTGGTGTTGGAGGATTTCAAAAACATCCACCACCGCATTCTAGCATTTCAAACCAATGCCCAAATTTTGCATGCTTATTATCTCGACAAACCCGAATTATTCGACATCAATGGGGCCAAAATCACCGAGGTCAGTCGTAGTTTGGGGACGTTAATGGCACACAATTGCGAGTACAACGAGGTAATCGAATTTCTTGTGTGGTTCCGTGATCTTGAAGACCCACAAGGCTACAAGCTATCGAAAGCTCTATTTAAGCACTTCTTCAGAGAAGACCTGGTGCTCGGAGACATGGACATTGATCACGTTGCATGGGAGCTATATGACCTGTAATAAATAAAAAAGTGTCTACTGGGCAGGCTCTAAGAAACGGTGACCCTTTCCGTCAGCAATGAGTAATTGACCATTCAAAGACTCGTCCGTCACAAGCTCAATGGCATTATCGACAGCATCCTTCATCTGGATGACAGGGAAGCTGTTTCCTGCTGGAGCCTTCTTACCCATGTCGGTTTCCTTCACCAAAGCAGGCAAGACGGAATTGACACGGATGGATCCCCGCAACTCATTGGCAAGCGATTTGGTGAAACCCAAAAGACCAGCTTTCAGGGCTGCATAGACCGTGGTTCCTGGACTGCTAAGGCCGGTAAAGGAAAGCACAGAGGAAACATTGACGATGACCGGCTTCTGCTTCTGCAGCTTGCCAATCTTTGTGAATGGTTTGATTGCCAACTTGCTGAGAATGATCGGCGCCACAAGGTTTGTGTCGATGGTATCGATGATGGACCGCTCTGGAGCTCTAGCCAAGAGGGTATTGGTTGTTGTACCGGCGCAATTGACGAGAATGGAGGACTCGTTCAAGGCCTCCAACAAGAAACTGTGGTTCTCGGGCTCCTTGCCGTGGGCCAAGTCTAGAAGGTTGTAAGTTACAAACTTATGCTCCTGGTATTCCTGTCTGGCTAAGTTTTTCACGTTGTCGTACATTGCGTCGGAGTCTCGGGCCAATAAGGTTATGGAGGCGCCCAATTCGGCTAAACCTTTGGAAATCGCCAACCCGATGCCTCTCGAGGCACCAGTAACAATAGCACGTCTTCCGGCAAGCATGGTTGAGTGATGAGAAGATTGCGAACGGCTCTATTATAGGAATCCAGGCAAGAGCAAGTCTCGCACCATCCACAAAAACGGCGCAGATGACGTATGTGAAGAAGCAGGTGGCAAGAGCTCCGGAGGAGCCGTTATTCAAATGTTCTTTTTGATCTTTAAACTTTGGACCAATTGCCACATAGAGGTGCTGCAGTGCTAAGTCTATGCAAATTAAGTTTGGGCAGGCTTGAATGCGGGGCGGAAAATTTCAACCACAACATCCTCCTGCCATGAGTAAAGCATTGAAGAAACTCGAGTGGCTTGTGATTATCTACGATAAGCCTGTCAACCAGCGACTCAAGTTTAGACCCACGCATTTCCAAAGTATCCCGAAGCCATTCCAAAGCGGTACTCTCACTAGTGCTGGTCCAGTGTTCAAGGACGAGGAACGGAGCCAGTTTGCTGGTTCTGCGTTTACAATTGCAGCAGAAAAGAAGGCAGATGTCATTGACTTCTTGAAGAACGACGTCTATGCCAAGGAGGACGTGTGGGACTTTGACAATGTTGTGATCCACCCCTACACCCCGGTGGTGAGGGCCCAGAAGGACTTTCCTGAGCAGAAGTAGAGCTTACGGCGTGTGTAGCGAAATCCATTTATTAGTTGTTAAGCGAAAGAAGAGGGTAAGCTAAGGAGAAAGTAAGTAATTAAACGAGAGCGGCGGCAATGGCAGCCAAACCAGCAGCAGCACCAGCAGCGACTCTGCCGGCGTTGTTCTCAATAGTAGAGACGTGAGCGGCAGAGCTTGGGTGAGAAGCACCTGGAGTAGACTCACCAGCCACAGACGAGTGTGGAGCAGAGTGGCCTGGCTTGGTGGTGGTCTCGGCAGCAGAAGATGGGTGCTGGTGAGGAGCACTAGAAGATGGGTGCTGGTGAGGAGCAGTGGTCTCAGGAGCTGGAACACCTGGAGTAGGCTTCTGAGAAACGACGGTGGTTGGAATCGTAACAGGACCCTTGACAGTCAAGGTGGTGGCCTCGGTGACGGTGATGGTCTTGTTGTTGAAAACAACGTGGGTTGGCTCAGGACAGTAGGTGGTGTAGTCGGTCACCACAATGTGGGTGGTGAGGGTGACATTGTTGGCGGCAGCGACACCGGCAATAGCAGCAGCGGCAGCGATGTTAGTCAATTGCATAGCGAAAGAAAGTTGAGACGATATGGAGAGCCAGAGGGCCGGCGCCCGCCCGCTTTATATAGTTGCACGTCTGGGTTCTGTCCTTCCGTTTTGGGCATTACACTTTTGTATTTTTTTTTTTTTTTTGCATCCTGGAATTGCCCACAGTTATTCCTTTAGCCTCTCTGCACCGGCGTGTCAAGCCTGTGCAGAAACATGTCAGCCACAGTTGACGTACATCCACATAGTGTCTCACACTTTAGACTTCTTTGCAGCCAGCAGCGTCTGCTTTCGTTAATACATAAACACGCTGTGCTGCTGACTTAAGCTTTCGAGGCATCTCATTTCCTCAGGCGGTAATGCCCCTTATCTGTTTTTGGACGCTGTGCAGCTTTTTTCGTACCTGGCTGTGGCGGTCCGCAATGCTCAGTTGGACCCCTACTGTGGGTCTCTCCACTGTTTTGGCATGCCGATGGACTTGCAGCCAGTTATTTTTACGCCGGCGCAACAATGGGCGCCGGGGCTTGAGAATCTCGTTTCTTTGCTGTTTATTTACTCTATTCGTGTGGCCCCGAGACTCTTCCTTCATCTCACTTCCTCTGGTACATCAAAATGTACGCACTCTTGTCCTTGGCCTCGGGGGTTTCCACCACAGCGTCGGACGAAATCGCCTCCACTGATGTGTCGTCGATCCGCAACCACTTCTTGTCGCTCGCCGTCGACGTCTCGGCGATGCCATTTCGGTAGACGTCGCACGTGTAATGGCCGCCCTCAGCATTTCGGCCGTGGTGATATATAACGCCCACGAGTTTGTAGGCGGGCTTAGGGTCGGCGGAGCGAAGCGTTGAGCTAAGACACTCGGGTGGAATTTCCAAGTCCAAGTCGAATTTGACGTCCTTCATCACCTTTTCGATGGTGCCGTAGCTCACCGACTCCTTGCCGTTGGGCTCGGAAGAGCCCTCTTTGCTCAGGTTATCTGCCTCCTGCTGGTAGGCAAATCTCTTGAGCTGGAGAAGCAACACTTCTGGAAGCTGGTCAATGAAGGTTTGCTTCTTGGCAGTAACCTCACGCTCAGCGTCGATCTTGAACGGAATCCTCTCAATTTGATGCAGATTCCACAATGCATCTTCTATAGTGGTCACGTCCTTCTGGGAGATGTCAACCAGCATACATCTGAAAGGATCGACCGTGATAGACTGGGACTCCTTGCCCTTTGGTATGGTCAACACACTGCGGAACCTGCCGCCAAAAATCAGGGTAATGGGTGATGGTTCAACATCGACAACCCGCTTTTTGGAAACCCGTTTCCCGCTGCCGACCTCTGACCATCCGTTTGTCTCCTCTTCCTCATCCAGGGCTTCGACTTCCTCGCCGTGGTTGAGTGACTGCTTGGTGACGCGATAAGCAGTCTTAATTTTGCTTTTAACGTTCTGCTTGCTTGCACTGTCATTAAGCTTTTGCTGGCAAAAGTCTATGAGCTCATCAACCTGTGTAGTTGGAACTGTAGCCTCTGCACGAACAAAGTCCTCATGAAGACCGTCCAAGAAGTACGTCAAAAACTCCTCTGCATCTTCTTGCTGACCCCATTTGAGATGCTTAAACTTAGTGTTCTCCACAAGCTTTTGGTAAAGAACCTCGGGAGAAAGCGGCCTACCGACGACAATGCCATGGCTATTGAGTGAACCGTTGCTGCCGTTGGAACCATTTTGGGTTGTAAGCTTTAAAAAGTCCTTGATAAAATGAATGGTTGCATCAACAATAGGCTGCTGGGAGGTCTTGTCAAGAGAGCCGACAGCGTGCTCATCAACATAGCGAATTAGCTTGTTGAATGGCTCGCAGAACATGAGACACTGGAGCACAGCATTCATGTAACATATGTTACCCGTATTCGTCAATCCTCTTGGATTGATAGAATATGATGGGTATGAGTTCAAGGAAAACTCGGGCTCGAACAACATCTTCAACAGCAACAACCCAAGGGCTTGCGGCCCGTTGTTTATGGATGGTGTTGGAGAGGCAGACTTACTCTCGACAGCAGCTTGAGTGGTCTTGGATGCTGATGCGGTCTTCTTGGATACCTTCTTGGTAGCTGTGCTCTGAAGCACAGAGGCCCAGTTCGATGGTCTTGTCGTTGCGTCGTTCAGGTCGTTATCATTATTAGGTTGTTCTTGGTCAGCGGACTCAGAGTTGGCAATTTCTGCGGGGTATATAAGCTGGGTGGCAGATTTACCGGTGCTGTGGTCGAGGACAGTGAAAGTAGCGTTCTTGTTGATGATTAGATTGGCGAGGCCACCCGATTGGGTCTTCTGTTGTTGAACGTACTTCTGCACACGACCAAGTTTAGATGCAAGTAGATTCTTCTTTTCGCTGGCGGCCTCTGATCTAGCACTAGAGTATTCCTCGGGAGAAGTGCTAAATAGAAGTGGGAAGGTTCCGACAGGCACGGACTCCTCCTTTTTCAGCTTGGGCTCTTCAGTTTCTGTCTGCTTCGTCTCCTCTTGTTCTATGACTTGTGTGGTGGGAGGAGTCTCTTCAGAAAGTGTAGAGGCTGGTTCTGGTGCCTGCTGAGGAGGATATGCATCTGTCTGGGGGGACACCGAGCGGGCCGTGTAAGGATCATTGACTTTTGCGGGCTGTCCATAAGGATCCTCGACGGGAGCGTCGGCGTAATGACTGTGGTGATTATTATGACTATTATTGTATGCATTGTGGCCCTTGGAAAACTTCTTCTGTTTCGTATTGTTGTTGGGAGGCATGTAGCCGTTCATGCCGTTCATGCTGTTCATATGTGGCGCCATGTAGGGCTGTGGGAATGGCGTCGTTGGCATGGGATAGTATGGGTACCCCATCATGTACTCAGGGTAACCCATGTATTGCATGTATGCGCCCGGCACTTGGCCACCGTACATCATCTGGGGATGCTGCTGGTAAGGCTGTTGCTGTTGTGGGAATGCCTGGGGCGGAGTTTGATATTGTTGTGCCAAAACGAATGGCGACTGGCCTGTTGGGTTGAAGGCAGGAACGTCGCCTCTGAAACGGCTCTGGCGAGGAGCAGAACCGTCCTTTTTGGTCGAAGCCTTGGATGATGACGGCGTGGTGACTTTCGATGTGGACATAATGCTGCTGATTCTTACTTTGGCTCGGAACTAGTGTAGGGTCCGTTAGTGATTCATAAAGACCGAAATGATATGGGTGAACTTCGGTGATAAGTTGAAATGCAAGGGTGGAATCTAAGCGATGAGAGTGTGCTTAGCTGTTATATATGGACAATTAGATGCTTCAGGTCAAAGGAAGCGGGATAAGGGTGGTGTATGTTGAGAAGCTAGCGGAATAGGTTGAACGAACAGAAAAAAATTAGCCAAAAAAATGAGTACATAGGCAGGATCGCCGACAACGCCAAAGAAGAGCACACTTTTCAAGAAAGTTTTGGTATTGGGGATTCAACTTTTTCTACGAATTGTCTATCTTTAGTCGTCATGATGAAAATTATTTCTATCTTGTCATGGCCGCCTGATTACGGGCCCGAACAAACTTTTTTGTGGTTCACACGATAGATATGTCGCGAGCCCGAGGACCTGAGACATGATTTAAGCAAGGCGTCTGAAAAAGTGAGTAGATTCTTCACTGTAGATCCTAAACGATGTCAGCAATTGCTTTTTGAGGTACTTTGAGCTTTCCTCATTTGCTATGAGCAACTTTTGTTTGAAACTTATAGTTGTTGTTTCTGGCAATGCGTGATTTCATTCACCGAGCGCATGAACGGAGCATCAACTGACGACCAATTCTTTCACACTAGCTGATGCTTAGAGCCTCAAGGATTTGCCATGCTTCCGTCACCTTCTCTTTACGGATAGGCACACTTTCGTAGTTATAGGCAGCAAGAAGTACCGCTAACAATTGGGTGCAAATTGGAAGCGGGTCGACGGAGACTTTGGGCTGACGCCTCAGAAGAAAGTCGAGTATGAGACCGTTTTCGTCATTTCTTTCGTAATCTTTGATGATGTCCTCAGCTGGGATTTCTGCGCCTGTTGGGGGATATTCATCGAGAAACTCCTCGCTCGAACAGAACCAGTTGTATGGATCCACAGTGACAAACTCCCCCTGGGGCCATTTTCTTTCTTCTTCTTTTGGACTTTCCTCAGTAAGCTCAACGGTCTTCGTGTCAAGCTTCAAAGTAAGCCCGACTTCGGCTAGCATGCGTCGTAGCTCAAGCCACTTGTTCGTCTCCTTCTCAGGCACCTCCTCCACCACTGTCTCATTGTAGACCCTGAGAAATATCGGTGGAGACGTTTTTTCCTGTTTTCCCGTGAAATACTCTTCTGCTGCATTTTCCAAATCCACGCCTTCTCCAAGCACATCTGCCCGGATATTTCCACCAGTAGCTAATGCCAACGCCTTCGTGTACATGTCTCCAAAGGCGTACGTTAAAAGAATCGACTTGTTCAGATCGAGAACAACGTCTGCCTTTTCAAATAACTTCCCCTCCTCATCAAACCTCTCTATATCCAGCTTGAGCTCGTCCAAGTCTTCCTCGAACCCAGCCATGTACTCATATATTTTCTCTACGTAGCGACGCCGCCGAAGAAGTCCTGAGGCCCAGCTTGGAAACAAGGTCAAAATACGGGAGTTTTTCTCGTGAAGAGAAACCCGCTTTGGCTCGGCCAGCTCCATCTTAAGGTGTATGCGAACTTCAATCTCCTACCACCTACTTCGCGTTACACCATAACAAGCTGAAGGTCACCATGTCGTGGGTCGACACTTTACCGACTGCGTTGCAGATCAAAATCAACCAACTTGTAACAGCTCAGCCTTCGAGCCAGGTGATTCTTGATGAGCTCTACGAGCACTTGACCAGCCCCAAAAAGAGGAAAACTCCTCAACGCAAACCTAGAGAGTTACCTTCTGCCAACAACGGCCAGCCCAACCCACACCATGTCAAATTTTCCGGCCCTGTGAATCCACAAGAAATCATTTTTCAGTTGACAAACTTGTCCTTTGGCTCCCCAATAAGAAGAAAGTACAACCTTCTATTCCATTTGCTCATCTCGCCAGACAATGTCCCGCATCCAGTGCTTTCGATCGTCAACATAGCAACCCAGACTCCCGAAATGTCGGTAACGGGCCTCAAATCAGCGATCAAGCTTTGTATGCTTGCACCTATTTTGGGCCATTCCACTGTGCTGACGAAGAAAGATACGGCTATGTTGTGTCTCTGGCTCAACGACCACGCTGCTTTTGACGCCAAAAATGACCCTATTATCTGTAACATTAACCTAGACGTCATCAAAAAACAGCTTATCGAAGATGGCAAGGTGCCTCCTCATGCGGAGCATCAGGTTGGTGAGGATGATTCCGAAGGTGACGCTATCAAGCCCATCAATGAGCAAATCATATTCTTCTTGCAAAGGCAATTTGGATTATGTGGTATTGAGCTTCACAACTTCATGCCCTTGGCCAGGCCAATGCAGAACACTTTGAAGTTCAACGCTGATAGCGCTATCGCCATCTCAACTAAAGGAAACAACATTTGCGATTTCGTGGCGGCTAGTGCTTACAACGGCTCCAAAGAAGGCAGTCTTCTTCTTCTCAATACCAACGAGGAGACCGCTTTCATGATTTTCGGTTTCAAGAAACCTGTTCTTCTCATAGAATTTTCGACCATCAGAGATATTTCCTACAAGGACATCACCCGTTTCACATTCAACATGTTGGTGACAATTGCCAGCGCCGATGGTGAGGATAAGGTTCTTGAGTTCAGTATGATCGACCAACAATCGTACCAGGAAATCGATGATTTCGTGAGGAGAATGAAGATTCAAGATAACTCGTTTGATGCCAAGTTGCGTGAGAAGCAAACCGAAAATACAGAGGCTGATGTTGTCGAGCCCGCCCTACAGGAAGCCGAGGCCGGTGGCGATAGTGACGACGAGGAAGAGGATGGAACCTACACAGGTGGTGTTGAGGAAGGTGAGGAGGACGACAGTGATATGGATGCGTCCGCTAGCGAAGGCAGCGACGGCGATGACTCTGTGAGCGAGGATGACGACGAAGACGACGATGGTCTTGACGACGATAAAGCTGACGAAGAGTGAAGAAGCTCTGTACTACTATAATACATCTAGACATGCTAAGGGCCACGTTCTTATATTAGTGGTGATGCAACTATACGAATACAAAAGTGAAAGTAATGGGATGACGTTTGTGAGCTTATTTGTAGTTCTGACCGTACTTGTCGAACAACTCAAAGAACTTACTGGTTCTCTTAGACGCAGTGATTCTGTGGTCGCCCTCCAAGTCAAACTCGTGGAATGCATCAACTTGAGCCCTCTGCTCACGCAACTGGGCCAATCTTCTAGTTAACAAGTGTCTGTTTCTCTCGACAAAGTGGTCACAAATGGCGTAGCCTCCCAAGAAGGCACCAATCGACAAGACGTAACCTGGAACTCTGTCCCAGGATCTGCCGAATTGCTTGCCCACAAGCTGAACTTGGAGCCTTCTGGCCGAAGCACCAAGAACGGTACTGAGAATCACACCGGCCGCAGTCACCATTATATATTGTAATTGATGGACGGTAGTATGGTTATGCTTTATAAAAAGTTTTTGTGCGAAGGTAATTGGGCAGTGGGCACCTGTACACCACAACAGTCTGGGGAACCCATAAGACGGATTCCTTTCGACAGTATTGATATAACTGAGGTAACAGCTATCTTATATTCCTCATATGTGCTACTGTAACATTGGGTAAGATTCAGTGTGTTCAAGTTGCCTGGAATTGCTCCCAATGAATGGGTGCAAAAAGCAAACGGAGGGTGGAAAGCCAATATTGACACTGTAATTAGAATTTAGTTGACAGATCATTCTGAAATTAAATTGCTTCTTTCTGTAAAGCTATGTTGTTTTTCTGTATCCTATTTGATGTAACGTCGTCATTCAGGACATGGTGGATCAAAGTAATGATTCTCAGTTTGCATATTTCGTGAGAATCCATGAATCTTTGTCAATTATCTATTGTAGTATATTTAACATTGAAAGGATCAAATAATGATGCACTTAACCTCATAACCGAAAACCAGACACGATGTGATTGTGACACTACAATTTGCCAAAATTTAAAAATACTTGGAAAACAATCCACTGATGCAGCCTTCACAACTCACTCGACTTGATTGCACTTCCCAACGTCTTATCACAAAAAAAGTTGTTCGGTTAGAATAGAATAACAAGTATTGAATGAGCGCAAGTGAAGTAATTAAATTCCTTTTTCATTGTCAATTGGCCGTCTTCCTAGGGCAGTACTTCCCCAGCTCTCCGCACAAATTCCGCGGTACCTCGATAAGACTACTTTCTTTATGCCAAAGCAGATCAACTTCTTCAAGGGCCACCCCACCCTTGATCTTTTGCCCAAGAAGGCGCTTTCGGAAGCTTTTGCTAAAGTCATCAGCGAAACAGCCCACACTGACTACGAGTCTGATCCCGAGAACCGCCATCCTCTTCAGTATGGAACTGACCTCGGAAATTTGACGGCAAGAGAAAGTGTGGCTCGTTGGGTAAACAAGCAGTTTGGAAGAACCTCGTTACATCCAGACCAAATCAACTTGACTGGAGGATCCTCATATGGATCACAGAATATCCTTTTGGCGACTACCAACACAGAGACAACTCTTCAAGCGTTCGTGGTCCTGCCTACCTACTTCTTGATCAATTATGCGTTTATCGACGCTGGATTCGAAAACAAGATGACCGCTGTCCGGGAGACACCCGGCGGTGAGTTTGACATAGACATTGAATTCTTGGAGAAGAAATTGACGGAGTTGGACGATAAACACGGCCTTAAGCCTGTTGGTGACAAGGAGATCAATATCTTCCCAGATCCAACAGGTAGGGGTGTCAGGAAACAATACAGATACGTGATGTACTTGGTACCAACATTCTCGAACCCTGGTGGCCTTACTTACACGGATGCCACGAGATCCAAGCTCATTGAACTTGCAAGAAAACATGACTTGCTCCTTCTCTCTGACGATGTTTACGACCATCTCAATTACGAGGGCAAGCCACCAGTTAGAAAGCTAAGTCAGATTGATGAGGACACCCTTCCAGAAGGATGGAAGTTCGGTAACACCGTTTCCAACTCTTCCTTCTCCAAGATCATCGCTCCAGGACTTCGTGTGGGCTGGCAGGAAACAGCCACACCAACCTTGGCACTTCAGTTGTCGGGGACTGGCGCCAACAAGTCAGGTGGTACTCCAGGCCAATTGAATTCAGTCGTCGTTCAGCACTTCATTGAAGATGGCACCCTAGACGAGACGATTGAGCACTACAAAAAGACATACAAAAGCAGAGCTGTGACTCTTAAAAAAGCTTTGGACGAAGCCCTTCCAGCCAAGTACTCAAAGTACTATGGTGGTGACGGCGGCTACTTTGTCTGGGTGGAGATTGAGGCGCCAGACGTGGATATAGCCGAGGTTCTATCCAAGCTTCAAAAAGAACACAACGTCGTAATTGCAGCAGGAGGCAACTTCGAAGTCGAGGGAGACAGCCTTGGCTGGAACAAGGTAGGCGCTCGTTTGTGCGTTGCCTTGCTTGAAGAAGAAGAAATAAAAGAGGGCATTGAGAAGTGGGGCCAGGTTTTAAAGCAGGCTCATCCTCAACTATACTAGACGGTTAGTACCATAATAGAAATTTAGAGCAGTTCAGCGTAGATCTTGGTGTTAAACTTTTAATTCTCATGAATTCTCGATATAGGCGAGTTGTTTATCATCTTCTTACTGCAAATGGGCAACATACATTTTGGAGTGAAAAAAGGGTAGTATTTTTACTCATCGACAAAAGAGCGCCTTATATAGTCGCGCTCTCGCGCCTGGTGGTAGGGCTTGAGCGACATGCCAACCGAGGAGACATGCTGCCTCGAATTCTGACTGGCTTCGTCAATTTTCGGAAAATTCAAGAGCTATCGTTGATTAGGCTCTCTGGTTTCAGGATATGTTCGCCATTTTCAATGAAGATGGCAGATTATACTGACCACCGGGGAAAGCCCTGCTAGTAGCACAATAAAGCGAATCACTCAAGAAGTCACTTTCTTCGCCCTAGCTCTGGCATCCTTCATCTTGTCTGATGATGCATCGACTTCGTCGTTGAAGCGATCGAGCATCTCGTTTTGCTCCTCAACCTCTCTGCCTATCGTCTCTCCAATTTCTCGCTGACGAGCGATTATTTTCCTGAGCTGCTCAACCTCCTGATCCTGGTCTTTGTGGATCTGCTGCTGCTGTTGGAGAAGCTGATGATTATCCAAATCAGCCGTGGAGCTGGTTTCCTTCGCATGATCCTTTTGCTTCTTACTGAAAGCGTAATGAGGAGACCCTTCCTTCTTAGCCGCCACATCTCTCTTGAAAATCAACCGCTCTGTCTCATTCAGGAGCTCCCTGAGTGAGGAAGTCCTCTGGCTGAACTGCGACGAGTCAATGGCGCCAGTCAGATTGAGTAGCGAGAGAGCCGATGCTAATTTTTGGATATTAGGTTGAATGTACTTGTTGACATGCTCTCTGGCTGCCGACCTCGAGGCTATGTCGTCTCCTCTGGGGAGCTCAGCGAGTGCAGATTTAACCTGACGTAGGTACTTGAGCCACTGACTATTATCAATCTCCTCGGGCGATTCATCAATTAGAAACTTGGAGTCACTGATGCCTTCTTCCTCGAACATAGCCGGGGTGAACTTGAAGTTTGAGGGCAACTGGAGAAAACTGTGGACAGCTGGTCTGTTCTGAAGGTCTCTGTCACGAACGACACTGTTCAAGAAATCAGACAAGCTGAATCGTCTCTCATTGACAAGCTTAGCCTTGCTTGTGAAGAAGGACCCCTTTGGAGGAAGTTGGTATGGGAACTCTCCCAGGGATATCCCTAAGTCCTCACACAACAGTTTGACCAAATTGCCAAAGTCGGAGTATCTTTTGGAGACTGTGAGCGCCCTCAATGGCAATGTGATATTGACATCATAGTAAGTGACACCATCACTTTCGGAAGTGGACCCGATGGTTATTAGTGACATAAGTGGTTATACGATAAGACGTCAATGCAATGCGATAGCCAGCGCGTGATAGACCTCCACCTTTTTTTGCACCCAGTGCACGTGATGCATTACCCTTGTAGATTGCTAGTCCCCTAAACAGACACAAATTAGTGCTTTTCTTATAATTCGATCGAGCGATGTCGGACTCTGTTGTTGCCTCTCAGGAGGAACAGCCGCAATCGCCTAAACGTCAGACTTCCCCAGAAAGACCTTCCGAAGAGGAGCGTGGGTCTTCCAGTGCTGATCTTGAACGGGAGCCATTGATCTCCAGCAGACGCTATGTGGACCCCGATGACCCAATTGTGCTGCCATTGAACTTGCACCGTATTGCCGTTTTGAGGCTGGTTCTTTTTGCGGTGCTTGCGGTGAACGGACTCTTGCTATTCTTGGTGGTTGTTTCGGACTTCATCTCGATACCCTTCTTCAATCGCCGGGGCAAGTCTCCGCTTGACTTTGACTTGGCCTTGTTGAACATATTGACCGGTGCCGTAACCCTCTGGTGTTTTGCTGTACCAGCTTACTATGAAAGATTGCTAGGCTACGTTAGTTGCGGTTTGGTGTTCGTTGACTTGATTGTGTTGCTCAGCGTTCCATACCTCCGTGGCCAGCTGGGTGCTTTTGGAAACCTCCTTTGGCTCTGGACGCTTCTCAATATTGCCTTGAACTGCTTTGCTGACTGGTCAGTAGAGCGTGGAAAGGCACAACAGGAGATCAGGTACACCGGAAGGGTCGAGAAGAGAAGATCGGTCTCGGAGCTCTTGATTATGCTCATCAAGATCACGGTCAAGTTGTTTTTGTTGTGGGTGATTTGGTGTATCTCGCTCTCCATCTGGCTTGAGGGGTTTGACTCTCATGAGAAACCATGGGGTAAGATGATCCCAGTTAACGAGGGTCAATTCAAGGTTCATTTGGCCTGTTACGGTGATGTCCACGCTCCCATGGCTGAAAAAGACGGGGAAAAGGACGACCCATCAAAGGCTAAGCAGCCTGTTTTGCTTATCGAAGGCGGTCAGCAGACCTCATCGGAGGTGTTCCAGGAATGGATCCAGGAACTTTACCAAATGAACAAAATCGAGAGATTCTGTGTTTGGGACAGACCTGGCTATGCTTTCTCTGATAGCGCTCCTCTGCCAGTTTCGATCTCCATCATCGTCGAGTACCTCATGGAGGCTCTTCGGTCCGAGAAGATCGAGGGGCCTTTCCTGGCTGTGGGCTTTGATGAAGGCGGACTTTACTCCAGAGTGTTTGCTCTGAGAAACAGGGGCCAGATTCACTCGCTTTTCCTCGTCGATAGTTGGCACGAGGACTTACTCAAACACTTCCCATTCAGCGGAAGCAACAAGAAGAACGAGAGCAGAAAGGCGTTTAAGGATATTTTAGAGCTCATGGACTCCTGGCAGGGCTTCAAAGTCTGGCTCCGTGGTATTGTGTCGCCTTTGGGAATTGTAAAAAACCTTCACTGGTTCTTCCATCCACAGAGATACTCCTCCAAGAGCAGAGTTTTCGGCAGAGACATGATCTACAGCCCCAAGTACCTTCGTGCAAGACTTCAGGAACAAGTTACGGCCTCGATCTTGTCCTTCAACGAGGTGCAGAACGCAAATGTCCAGCTGGTTCCTTTGGCAGTGATCCTGTCGGACTTTATGATCAAGAATTCGCTCAACTGGGGCAAGTGGCAGCGAGACATGGTGAAAATCAGTGATCGCCTGTTGGAATGGGTTGTCGCCGAAAACAGTGGACACAAGATCTGGGAAAGTCCGAAGGGCCGTGACCAGTTGCAGCAGTTGCTCTTGCGTTTAGTCAGCGAGAAATCCAACTACTAAGAGAGATCATGAGATCTACTACGAAAAGCTTGTTTTCCTTGGATCACGAGGAACTTGGCTTAAGGAGACATTTAGGTTTCGACGGTCTTGTGAGCTTATCTGGGCTGATATACAAAGGCCCAGACGCGACCAGGCACGGTCACGAATTTGTTTCAGGGGACATTCGTTGATGATGCCTCGGAGGTCGGATCTGACACAATAACCCATGCTTCACGAGTTACTTCAAGCAGCACGGCTGTTTACCCGTCTATACGTATAGCCAGCATGCTGGCTGACCTCCGTCCCCTATATCTCGATGAAAATTATCAAATAAACCAAACTCTAGAAGTATTTCGTAAAATTTAACCTTCCATCCATCTTCAGATGCTCTGCTCGTTTTTCACACAATATATTTTCCGTTGGGCAGTGGGTGCAAAATGTGATGTGGGGAGCCCTGGGTGCTCGCCTAGAAAGGCAGGTGGCTTGCGCTGGGGAAGAGAAGGGCGCATACGAAGCCCGATGCGAGGCGCCGATAAACGGGAAGTCCGTGTAAGACACCCGATTTACATGCTACGCTTAAACAAACCCGATATTCTTCTTCTCGTAATTCTGACGATCACATCGATGTTAATATCGTCCCGAAACAGCCGTCAGCGGCCCAGATCGCACTGTCTCACGAAGGTCAGGTGCGGTGCCTACGCATTCTTGGCTGCTACCAAAGAAAGATAAAGACGGGGAGGAGGGATTTCGACGAAAATTCAAAATTCAAAAAACATTATTCGTAGTAACAGGCGGCAGGAGAAGCGGGCCTGATCTCTTTATGCTCGGAATCTGTGGAATTTGGTGTTTTGCCTGACTTGGGAATGGCCTGTCTATTTGCTGTGTCACATTTTTTCTGTGTATTTTTTTGGCCCTCCCTTTAATTACCTCACTCGGCTGCTTACCACAACCACTTGTTCTTTTCTGGCTGCTCTGCGGTTCTTGCTATTTCCCAAATATAATGACTGATTCCGTCGCTGTGGCAAGCCTGACCCCAGTAAGGACTCTTTCAAAGTCCAGCGACAGGTCGCCGCTTTCATCCGATAACCTGGCTCCAGGGCTGCCTAGCAACCCTCCCGTGACGTCTTCCCCAGAGATCCACGACGCCTTAGGAGATGCTAACAGCCCTCCTCCCTTTGGCCTACGCTCCAATAGCGGACCTCTGGCGCCTTACCCCCATGATACCCAGGACAACCTGACCAGCCTGGAGGACAGAACGGCCACAGGAACTGGTTTAAATGGCTCCAGCTCTGCTGAACCAAGCTCTACAGCTCCTGTCTCGGTCTCTGCATCGTCATCAGGCCCAGCACAGATCCAGCGCTCCGGTTCTGGTTCCATCGCGGTCACTAATCAGACGGTCGAGCCGCAGGCCTCACAACAACAAGGCGCACAATCATTAGGCTCATCCGGAGCTTCATCAGGAGCCTTCTCGGGGGCTTCCTCTGGCTCAGGTTCCGCTGTTCCGGCAGCTCCGCCCGCCTCTGCTGCTAGTAGAACTCCACCTACAAGACCCCAACAATCTGGGTTGGCCAGACGTCCCTCCTTCGGCTTATCCTTCCTCAGCTCCCTTTCCAACACCATCAGAGGCTCTCACTCCAACCTGACTTCCCTGGACACTCACGCCGGCCACCTGCATTCCCATAACCAAACAGACTCGCATCCCCACTCGCATACGCATTCGCATCCACCTCCACAAACCCACTACTTCATGTCCAACAGTCCCACCATCGCCAACCTCAACGGGTTCACCGATGCCTCTGCAGACTTGAACAATTCTGCCGGATCCTCCAACTCGCTGAGCGAAAACCAGGCCCAGCCTCCCTTCTTGGCCCGTCAAGACACTATGGTGCGCAGCCAGCCCATCATCTCCGAGGAGACTGCCGAGGCTGAGGCTATTAAGGAAGAAGACGCTTCTGGAAAGGACAAGGACGGCTTTTACTCCGTTCGTTTGACCCCCATCATCGACCATCTGACCTCCAACACAGGTCTCTACTTTTCACCTATGATCCGCCGTATCAAGCCTAAAGAGCTGATCTCCATAGGCAGATACACTGAGAAGAACAAAAGTGCTGCTCATGCCCCGCAGGGCTCTTCGGCACCCATCGTCTTCAAGTCTAAAGTTGTGTCTCGTACCCATGCCATGTTCCAGTGCAATGAAGACGGATCGTGGTTCCTCAAGGACTGCAAGTCATCGTCAGGTACTTTCCTTAATAACGTACGTTTATCTCAGGCATCTCAAGAGCTGACGCTCTGGCCGCTAATAGACGGTGACATTGTGCAGTTGGGTTTGGACTACAGAGGCGGAACTGAAGAAGTTTACAGATGCGTAAAGATGCGTTGTGAGTTTAACAGAAGCTGGCAGCGTAAGGTGAATCAATTCAACTTGGACATTCACAAGAAGATGAAACGTTTGGGTCTTGAATCGGACAAGGACGATGGCAACTCCGAGCTCTCTGAATGTGCTATTTGTCTTCTCAAGCTCGAGCCTTGTCAAGCGCTATTTATAAGTCCTTGTTCACACTCATGGCACTACAAGTGCATACGACCCATCATTATCAAGAGCTATCCTCAATTTTACTGTCCAAACTGCCGGTCTATGTGTGACCTCGAGACAGATATCGAAGACGAATAATTGGCTGCTCCTTAACCACTAGCATCGCACATCATGGTGACAAGAACAACTAGTCAAGGAAGACCAGTTGTAAGTGTTGCCGGCCACTCCTTACCTTTCAATGAATACGTTTTTTACAATTTAACTTTACTTTATTTGAACAACTATTGATATTTTGTAAGAACTGAAATGAGCTCGCTCGCGAGCATTAGTGAGACTTGCTTGCGTGCTCAGCTGTGAAATTTTATTTTAAACCTTTTCAATAGTGCTGTTCTCAAGACGGTTAGACTCAACCATGTCTCTAACTCCGTCCTCACCAAGTTTACCCATCATTTCATCAATATCGAAGATATCGGCGTTAGTCAGCTTGAACTTTCTAGCTGGAACTCCCTTTTCGAACAAATAGTCCAATTCTGCAAAAGTTCTGTTTTTGGTTTCTGGCATGTCGAAGTAACACCAAACACAAGCCAAGAAGGCAAAACCAGCCCAGAAGAAACCAGTCTTTGCTCTCCAGTCCCAAGCTGTTGGGTTCAACATGTAGGGCATGACGATGGCAATAATAATACCAGCAATATTGTAACAATTTCTCGCCAAGATAACAGTCTTGGTTCTCAAGTTAGCCGATGGCATCTCCGTCACCAAACAATAAGTGATTGGACCAACACCAGAGTCATAAACAAAAGTGAAAACCAAAAGCAAAGAGCCAACACCCCATGAAGTTGCATCACTAGGGAAGCAGCCGAGGATACCAGTGGTGAGTAAGATAAGGAACTGCAATACCATACCAGTGAAGAATAATTGGTAACGACCAAGCTTCTGGGATGAGAACCAGGCGACCAAAGTTCCGATGATACCCAAAGCGTACTGGATAATCGAGAACGTGAAAGACATGTTCGTGGATAAACCTGCTTGCAAGTAGAAGTAAGTGGAATATCCCATGAAAGCGGAACCAGTGATATTTTGCATCAACCATGTAATACACGAAATTCTTGTTCTTCTGATGTTCTTTCTCCTGAAGCAGTCCCTGAAAGATACACCAGCACTGATGGCATCTTCCTCTTTGATCGTCAACTTCATTTTGTCCACCATTGCTTGCGACATGACCTTCTTGTCTGGCAAGTGTTCATTTTCAGTCAACAATCTTTCGAGCGAATGCTTTGCCTCATTGTATCTACCCTTTTTAACCAACCACCAAGGCGATTCGGGAGCAAAGTATACACCAATGGCGATGGGAACAGGCCAGACCCACTGGAGGCCGAATGGGATTTTCCAGGAATCAGGAATATTAGAGTCCACAAGGCCTCTCAACACAGCAGAAGAGATCAACTGGCCAATGACCCAACAGACATTGACATAGGTCGTCAAGTACAAACGCAAGACAGTTGGACAAACCTCAGAAGCATAAGACAAAGTCATGGTCTGGAATGCACCCCATGGGAAACCAAGCAAAAGTTCACCGACAAGTAACATAGCGATATTTTGAGCGAAGAAAACGATAAAGATCAAACCAGTAACCAAAAGCAAAGCCCAGATCAAAGTCTTTCTGTATCCCCATCTTTCAGAAATATAACCTGCGGCGAACAAACCAAAGACCTGACCACAGGCGACAGCCATACTGAGACCAGTCTGCCACTGAGCAGGAATCTCCCATCTGTCACTCTCTGGATAGTATTCACCAAAGGTTCTGACAAAATCGGGAAATGAATAAAACGAATTGATAAGGTTAAGATCGTATCCCTCCATGATGATTGCGGAAGACAAAATCACAGACCACATAGCAGCCTTTGGAAAGGTCTTGAGACCTTCTTTAAGAGGCATAGTTTTCTCTTTGCTATCATTCTCCTTAGCGTTGTTAGAGATATCCAAAAACTTGGCCATGTACTCTTGAGCATAGACGTCCATAGACTCAGTCGATTCCTTCTCATCCTTGTCGCTGATGTGAGTAGTCAACTCAGGCTTTTTGACATCTTCAATGTGGTCAGTCATATTCAGTTAGATCAAATTTTGATGAAGATCAAAACCAGCCAGCGGTCTCCTTGAATTTATACATCGTTACCCGCTGCAACACCTATGACACGGGTAGAAAGCCGATGTGGGGCAACAAAGGCCCCGCTAGGTAACCTGAGACGCCAAGGCAAGGGCGGCTATAGTGAGTCTGGGGTAGTCTATACGGCCAATGTTCTTTGACGCAAGAATACCGGAGAAATTCCGATCGCGGGTCCCGCTTGAAGCCTTCACAAAGGACGGAAGAATGCAAGACAAAGCCAACAGCGGGCAAAACTTCAGGGCTTTCATTGTATACATTGACTCATTATGTTGAGTCAAGGTGTGTGTTACAAAATTGAATGAGGTAGTCATCGAAGCCTGAGACTTGGATTCTCGGAGAATCTGAGGTTTACGAGCTGTATGCGTGCGGCAATGACAGCTTCGTAAAATTTGGCGAAAACACGGGGAAAGGGCCCAAGAGCATAATCTCGGAAATATTGAAAAAGCAATCTTTGAGATGTACCTGCCCGCGTTTCAAGCACCCAGAGATCCAATTATTGCGAGTTCTTGCGTTTCCCCGATGCTTGGACCTTGGCGCGCCGTTCAGCCCCGCCTCCCCCACTATCAACAGATGCCAATTTGGAAATAATCGATGCCGGACTGCTGTCGCAAGTTGGGTTTTTCGTAATGTTTCAAAATATTTTTGCGAGATTTACGCACCCGATCACCCCACTCGCTTCCATGATCCATTTGCAGCTTTTGAGAGCCGCAAATTATGCAACCCTGCGATAAAATCTGTGGACATTGATCCGGAGCGGTATCGGAGAAGTCTATGAGCGATTTCTTCACATTGCTTGCCAAGTGCACTTTTCAACCCATCCCCCACGCCAGTGGAATTAGAACAAAGGGAATTTTCTTCTCAATACGGCGCTAACTCATCTCTTCAATAGACTTCATGGAGGGTGCATGAAATGTGATAATGAAGGGGAGCTTTCGAATAGATCGTTCCTCGCCAAGACGGCATTTTCGTCCTGGCTTGAGATACCACTCAAGGCGTTCACCATCGCCTGAGGATATGCTGCGCCCAATTGCTTGAAAAGCTGCGTAAATGAGGGATTTCTGTCTGTGGGCAGAAGTTCTGAGCTTCCGAGACAGGAGCCGCTTTGTTCTTCTATGTCTTCATCGTCGAACAATTCTTGAATGGCAGCTGTAGCCGGAGATTCGAGGGACAAGGGTCTTTCAACATGGGTGGAAAATGAAGAGATTTTTCTGGCCACCTTGTTGTAAACATCCATTGGTAGCGTAATATGATTTTTGAATTGGTTGACAAGCATAAAGATCGAATTTAGACTATCTGCCAAAATCGATTTGCTATACGATCCTGGCACGGCAAATACAAGCGAGTTGGCTATTTCGAGTAGCTTGATGCACACTCCTGGTCCATTCGCCTCGAATGCCACAGCAGGAAGGTCCTTTGTTGACGCTAAGAAATCCCTGGCTATTTTTATGGGGAAATCTTTTGCTAGGCAGTTGACTGATTGTTCCGACGTATATGTGAGTAGTCCGTTTTCAAATGTGATATGCCAGGCAATTGCTTGGATCCAAGAACGGGAAAGGTAAATGTTGAGCTTTTGCGAATCAGAAGCCTTCGTTGTTTGGACTAGGGGCTGGTCGAGCCGTGATTGGACTTCAAGAATACACTTGGTTTTTTGGGCATTGTCGTGATTTTGGAGATAGTCTTTGAATGCCTCAATTTTTTGGTTGCCGCCTTTCATGTGGACCTCTTCAAAAAAGTGTTTATGAGGAACTGAAAAGACCTTGACAAGCTCAATGAACCCGACCAATAGACTCGGATACTCCTCGTTTTCAAGCAGCGGTAGTGCAATTGTTGGATCAAGAATAACAGGCATTGCATCCTCAAATGATACAAACCGCTCAGTGACAAGCAAGGTATAATATATTTTTTGCCAACGATGTTTCTCCGCCGCCGACTTGGTTTGGTAGGTGGCTTGGTCGTGAAACCCCAAAAGCTGGGACACGGAGATGGCTTCCCTCAAGTGTATGATCGCCTGGTTAGTTCTGCCCTTGCGATTCGTGTAATGGGCGTAGAGGAAGAACGATGAAAGAAGGGTTTCGACGTTGGGATTACTCGTGTAATCAAACAAGTTCCTAGCCCGTTTGGCCTCGTCGGCGTACTCTGTGTCCAGACAGCTGAAAGCATCATTGACGAGTCTATCTTTCACTGAAACAAAGGTCATTTGAGTGGCTATAGCGGCACAAACGGAGCACGCTAGACTGTAGTAAAAGACGTTTTTTTCTGTCAATCTTATCGAGTCTATGGATTCACTCATCAGATTAGAGTTTGTGATTTTCGAGATGATCTCTGCAACCGAGAGCACCGGCCAGTAGCCGTAAAACCACGTTTGGTAGACCTGAAGATACGCAATCAATTTATCTAGGGATATTCTGGCAATATAGGGGTCCATCAACTCGGTGTAAGACTCCTCCACAGGAACCGGCCTCGGAGTACTCATATCCAACCGGGTGTCCGGCAAAGGCGTATAAGGCAACGCTCTAGGCGTATCCTCTAAAGCCTTTCTTGCTTTTGGACCGGACTTCTTTCGGATTCTGTTCTGTGTGCATTGTGTATTGTGGTTGATACAGCCCTGGCACCGTTCAGAGCCCTCGGGGAATATACACCGAACTCTTCTTGAGGAGCACAAGTCACAGGGCCTGCCGTACTTGCCACGTTTCTTAGTTTCGCTCATGTCTGTGGTGATTCTTAAGGCCTTTCCACTTTGTGCCTCCAGGCCGTTGTGGGGTATTTGATATCTGGGTCGCGCCCCATTAGCAATGAGACGGGCTACTGGAAGACATTACACCAAAGTTTAGTTGAATAAAATCAATACACATATAGATCTTCTTTTTCGATCGATCGGCCCAAAAGTCCCATCAAGGCTCGTAATTGGCTGCGTGGTTCGCTACTCTGGTGAGCATGGAAGTTCGGCCTCCATACAAATTGGGCACTCACTGCT